GCAGCTCTTGTAGAAGTTCTTTCACTCTTCTCTGATTCTCTGATGTCATGTGTATGGTCTGCAGGGGCATTCTTGCTTCAGGTCTCTGTTTCACTTGCCCTCCTCTTCTGGCAGGGGCACTCGATCTAAAAATTAAAATAGGACAWAACCAAGAGTTATTTGCCTGGCTCAAATGTTCTTGTCTGAATTGGGATGTTAGGGCCCAAACTTGTAATTCAAAACAGGAAAATCAAAGTAAGATGAGCCCATCACCTCAGGACTATTCAGCTGGGTTCACTCTTRTATGACCAGGATTTGTGTGCCTTTATCTGCACACACACATATGTATTGTACCCTCTGTCAAATCCAGAGTGATTTACTAAACACTTTGCTAGGTAAAGCTGTTCTCAGACTACAACACAACCACATATTTCTAAGCTGGATTGGTCAAAACACACACAGGATACTAAATTAATTCTAAACGGCTCATTTCCATGGCCCAGCTTCAGTTTTGTAATATATGAAAATTAATATCCTGTGTTTATTAGTGTGTTCTGACCAAAAAGGAAAATCAGAAGATCTAATCTTTTAGAAGTAAAACACTTTCCTATGTATAATATTCATAAAATGTTAGTGAAAAAAGAMATGTAAAAACTGCTTCATACTGAAACACCTTCATCACTCTTTCACTCTTCTCTATATTCAAACAKGTCCAAAAACCAGCCCCAAATATCTGTGTATGTCAGCATAAAAAAAGAATCCCAAATGCCCCAAAATATCCCAGATAACCCTATGCCAATTCCCCCCCAAATTAACAGAAATACCTGGATTCTAGCCTTGGTTCCTCAAAGAGACAAAAATCATCTCCATCGTCCCAAATTTTGGCTGAACATTTCCTGTTTGCACCATGTTGAGGCTTGTTTGAATGGCCACTGCTGCCTCCTCGTCTTCCACCGCCTCCTCTCCCTCTTCCTCCTCCTCTGTTGGCCTTTCCTTTTTTCCTCACTGCCCAACTCATGTTCTCTTGCTGAAGAAGGGGAAAAAAACAGCCCTCAGTTATGATTAAGGTGATTAAGCACATTGTGTACATCTGAGGTGATTAAKCACATTGTGTACATCTGAGCACAGGTTGGTTGTTTTTCTCTGTGACAAGAGAAGATGCCCTCTCAAACTGCAGCTGGTTATTTGTATATTGGTGTGTATGTACACACCCAGAGCTAAGAGTATTCCACAACACTGTTTAGTATATTCTGTGGCTTTAGAAAATCAAAGTAATACTGCTCAGCCACAAACAGCAAATTTGGCAAAAATCTGTGGCAAAAGGATGAGGCTATTAGCAGTGCTGACAACCATGAGAGCAGAGCCCGCCAGGAGCTCATCCCTGGATCTCTGCCTGTGACCGTGCACAAATAATAGCCCCAACGAGGGCTCGGAAAGAAATTCCCCTTTTTTTTTTTTGTGATTGTTCTCCTCCCTGGAGCTCCATTGGGGCTGGACAGGCGCTCCCAGCCAGGCTGACCCCGCTCGGGGCTGTCCGGCAGCAGAGCGGGCGGGAGGAGGGCGAGCACGGCTGTCACACGGGCTCCTGTCCCCTTCCTCTCAGCTCAGAGCACAGAGCCCCGGGCACGGAGCAGCTCCGGGTTCCTCCCGCAATTCCCCACCACCCTCCACGGGTGTCTGCACACCCTCAGCCCCGTCCCAACCCCGCGTTCCCCGGACCCCACACCCTGCCCGCCTCCTCCCCTCAGCGCCCCTCACAGAGCTCCGGCACCCCCTTCCTCTCCACCCGCGCTCTCCGCCGAACCGCCACGCCCTCGGGAATCCAGCACYGCTTTTCCCCAGCGTTCCTACCTCTCTGCCGGCACCTCCCGGGCTCCTCGGTCCGGAACAGCGGCGTTTTCCTTCCGGGCCACGGCAGCTCTGCCCGCCCGATCCGGCCCGCCCCGCTCCCCTCACGGAGCGCTGAGGGTTCCGAGCTGTTGTGCGTTCCAATATCTGTTTGTGCCACGGTGTGGCTGTAACCGTGACACCGGCTTGTTTCTCAACAGGCACGCTGGTTTTTAAAGTATCTCTCGTATTCTCGAATARAAACAGGGATGCTGGTTGAAAATCTTGGTAGGCGCTCGCTGCGCCCACCTACGAGTTACTGATAATGCCCGAAAAGGCTGAAATAAAACCCCATAGAGCGGTGTCTACAGAGCAGGGATTTGTTTAGTGTAGCGCTGCAGGTGAGGGGGATTTCTCCTCCTAACCCACCTGCCTTCCCTTAGAATTGGCAGGTATTTATACAGTAAGCGTGGTGTAACATTACCGTCGTCACTATGCCCACCATCATGTATGGGTACAGAAATACACGATATCAGTTTTTCAAGTATGCATTTGTCATCCTCAATTCGGTGGTCGTGGGTGTCTCCCTCTAATGAGAGACCATCATCTTCATCACGGTGGACTTTTAACCTTTGTCTTCAGGGCATGCTCAGTTGTGATGTTCATGGTTTTTTTTCCAGTCCTCAAGGTCTTTGTATTTCATTTTTCAGCTAATTGTCTTGTGCATCTGCTAAGTTCTCATTAGTGCTCTCTTTCTATAGCATCTACCCATCTACTTCTACAAACTTTTTTGATTTATGCTTCTTGGTGATCCTATTTGTCCAGGCACTAATCCAGCTGGTTGGATTTCATCCAGCTGGTACACTCTATGTTGCTAACACCCTATATAAAAACTTATAACAGTATACAAAAAGGCTGTTATTGATAATATATTGAAAGCTATGACATTGTATATTGATAATATGTAAAAAAGGTTATATAAAGTTTCCAATCAATAGGCCTCAGAAGCATCTTGTAACTGGAGRTCTTTCCTAACCTACACTACAAAACTGTGCATGGGATTAAGAGAAGAAGGCTATACTAGTTTTAAAGTGAGGGTGACAATGATGCCTAAGCTTTTTTTATATATTTTTCATATGTTTGTAGCTTTGTCAATTTCTAATACATRGCTCTAGCTCCCAGTACTTTTCCTGCCCCTTTTCTCCTACATTTTAGAACAATAAGCTAACCTTCTAACATGTTATGCTACATTCCTGAAACRTTATTTAGTCTTGCTTTGTTAGCCAAGGATGTCTTTATTTTCTTTTATCATGTAGCCTTGACATAATAAATAAATACGGGGCTAGAAACTCAGGCGGGGGGTGCTCCAAATGGAGCAGAACTAAAAGGGGGGATTACTTAACTAACTGCTCTTCTAATTGGACACTCTTGTTAAATATGCTAATTTGTTAAACTTATAGAAGTCATGTCTTATGTGGATTCTGCCATATTTGCACCTGGAGGGTGCAAATTAAAGATGTGCTTTTATATTGTTTCCTATATTGTCTCAAAAATGTGTTGTTTTGTTTCTAGATTTTGAAGGCATCAGTTCYTGGTGACCCAGATGGGATGTCAAGGACCCTGCAGTCTCTCTGCAGCATCAACAWAAGTGACAAAAAACCCAAAGCTGTGTCACTGAGGTGAGGAGGCCCCTCTGCAGATCCCTGCACACACAGGGTCACCCATGACAGCTGCCCTGCAGCACATCCTGTTGAGTCTTGATTCCATGGATGGAGACTCCACAACCCCTCCAGGCAACCTGTGCCTGGCTGGAGTTTAAAGCAAAAAAATTTACCATAAGAAAATTTAAAAAAAAAAGAAAAAAAAAACCCCACAAAACAAAATCAAACCCACAAAAGTAAATTTTGTACACTGGTTTGACTATATAAGAACCAACACAGCTCCCAGCCCAGACAGACAACAGCTGCTATGGGGGTGTTTCCTGAAGGTTTTCCTGCAGATGGCCACAGTCACCACCCTGAGGGTCCATTTGGGTCTGCTCTGCCCCATAAAGGCTCCCCACCATCCTCACAAGGGGAAGAATGGTCCATAGGAATGCTGCTGGCTCACACTCTGTGTCACCCAGAAGTGAGGAAAGAGGAAATGCATTGTGTGATATCATGGGGTTTTGCCTCTCAGATGCTTTCTTGCCTCGAAGTAAGAATATTTGTCTTGCACTATTCTCATTTTCTAGAGGGGGACTGCAAATGGACACCTGAGTTTGTGCTTGAGGGCAACAGTCTATTTTGTTCAATTTTCTTGTGTTTTGCTTCTGAAATACCAGCTCAAAAAAAAAAAAAATGGTGTCCTTTGTCCCTAGTCCTTGACTTCAGAAGTAGCAGCATCTTCCAGAGASCTTCTGTTAATTTAGGAGCCTGTCCTTTCAGTTCCTTTGCTAGGGCTCCACATTTATCTGTGCTGCACAGCAATTATACTGATTTAGGCTGTGCAGTTTCACATTTTGGGTTTTCTGCCTGAAGGGTATCTTTGAAGCAGATCTTTGTCTTTCAGGGAGAAATTAGWCTGCCTTTTGTTACTGCACCTCCTTTATGTCTCCCTGCTCTTATGCTCTAGGGTAACTCAGTGGACTGGCTGGTGCCCTGACACCCCTGGCCTTGGGTTATTTGCATTCTCCACACGCTTTCTTGATGCCCTTTGGAGCAAAGAGCCCTCCAGTGAAGGGCTGATCCTCCTTAGGGGAAGAAATGGAGCAGCTGTGGAAGGCTGCTGCTTCCCACCCTCAAAGCCCTTATTTATTTCTACTCAAAATTTTTCATCATCTGACAAGGAACAGAAAACACTCAAGTGCCAGCGGTTGCTGCTCCCCTGCCCTGGCTACTCTGGCAACCTTGCCCTTGGCCCCTGTGCCCTCTTGGCCCTGGCTTCCCAAGCAAAGCCAGGGTGTCAGAAACAGGGAGGAGCATCTGGAGACTGTCTGGCCTGGGTGCCACAAGAGGCACTTTAAGATCMTCTGAGCCTGCCAGAGCAGCACGGCCACACCAGCACATGGCCCCACATGGCCCCCTCTGCCATCAATCCCAGCGCTCCTCGCCCTCCCTCCCTCCCGAGCCCTGTGCGATGCTAATTAAAAAGTCAGAAAGTCTGCATCGCCTTCTTCCGAGTGCACAGTCCTGGTTTTCGCGTGGGCACGCGAGGATGTGACCCGAAGATTATATAATTAGAAGGCATTTGTTATGCTGGCGTTTCAAATCAGTGATTAGCGTGTGACAGTCCCATCCTGGGAAACGTCATGCCACCATTGCTCTSCTCCRTCTCTCCCTCCCTCCCTCCTTTCTTGCACACTGCTAATTCCCAACTCTAGCAACTGCCAGTGCCGAAGGATCTTCAACCAGCCTGGGGTAAGTTTAAAATGTACTCGGCTTGGGATGAGGAGTGGGGTTAATTATGCCATTTTTCATATTATTGGAAAAAGCTGGAGCCGTGACTAATTCATGTTGTGTGTGCAGTACATGAAATTATATTTAGTGTATCTTGCATCTTCAGTGCCCACAGTTATTTTCAACTGATTTCTTCTAAGACTCTGAATGGAGATYGAACTTCTTAGTGTGCTGGACAATCTTGCATTTACAGTGGAGTCTCTAAATAGTTCAGGTTTTTAAAAAAAGTTTTAAAAAGACCTTTTTTTTGCTCTCACCATTTAAGAGAAAAAATGAAGTATCGTTGACATAGTGATATGACAACTGAATTGACATATTTGGATGACAACTGAATTAAAGTTAATTGGAGACAAAGTGCAAGCATGATGAGAGTAAATGACAGACTTTTTGTTCTCTTTAGAGCACTGGGGGTTGTTCTCCARGTGGGATATTTAAAACAGCCAGCAATCTCAGCCAGCAGGATTGAGACAGTCACTAGGAAGATCCCAAGCATTTATTTAGGAAAACTGTGGATGCTTAACTACTGAAGCAGCAAAAGTGCCCATGGATTCCCCTGCACTGTTCCCCATGCCATGGCGTGATTTCAGAAGCAGAATGGGACAGGAAGCCAGACAAATAGTAACTGCTGTGCACCAAGGCTAGGCTGTAAATGCTTCACTGAACTTTGCCTGTTTGCATGCTGATGCTTGGTGCAGTCTGTCCGTCTTTCTGGTCTGTGACCCTCTGCAAAGCTGATTCTCTCCCAGTTGTGCCATTCCATGTGGARGGAATGCTGAAAGGGGGAGCATGGTCAACAGAAGCAGTGCAGGCTGCAGGAGCTGCCTCCTGTCTCTCCACATGCACAGCTTTGTGCAGGAGCCCCCCTCCTGTGCTGCCTCAGGGGCACAACTCACTGGGACCTCTCCATCCATCCATCCATCCATCCATCCATCCATCCATCCATCCATCCATCCATCCATCCCTCCATCCMTCCATCCCTCCATCCCTCCATCCCTCCATCCATCCATCCATCCATCCATCCATCCATCCATCCACCCATCCACCCATCCACCCATCCATCCATCCCTTCTCCCTCGGGGATCTCATGGGATGTAGGTGCTGGCCCAGGCTCTGTTCACAGCTTGGCTGCAGTGCCTGCTGCTTGTGCAAGGCACCAAGACAGGATTCTTTGCTGGTCAGCAGTGCCCAGCAGCGTGGCAATCACTAACAGCAGAGGTGGCTTTGGTTCCTAAGCTTAGAAGATTTGGATGATGGAGGGAAAATAGAAACAAAAGGGGAAAATACATCGTTTTGCCATGATGGAGGAATCTGGTGGCTTTAACACCTTCAAACTTCTGTGGGCTTTGCTCTGGAGATGCTATTCTGACTAGATGAGAGCTGCAGGAGTGTAAATGAGTTTTAGTGCTCACCTCTGAAGAAACAAACATGTCTTTGCCATTATTTGTCCCTAAGCAGAGGTGCCTGGCCTTRACTGGCAGGGCCACACAGCCTGGGAATGGCTCCATGTGACTYGGGTGCTGAGCCTGTCCAGTGGGGAGCTTGCAGAGGAACAATAACATCTCCTTGTTGAGGAGGGAACTACCCAGTGGTGGGCTGGCATGTCAGGCAAACCTCAGATTTGCCACAGGTGGAGGCCTGGAAGTGGTTTAGGAAAGGAGCTTCATGGAGGGCTTGCACTTGCTGCTGGTGTGCACATGGATTYGTGTATGTGCATACAGGGTGTGGGACTTGCTCAGGACTGAGACAAAAACATGGAGGGGGCAGTCCTCTGCAGCTCTGAACTGCCTCAAGGGGGTTGTAAAGGAGATGGAGTCCAGAATCTTCCCAGAGGAGCACAGTGGAAGGCAACAGGTAGAAGCTGCAGCTAAGGGAAACCTTGACTGGATGTAAGGAAAAATATTCTTCTTCAGGGTACTGGAGGCTCCAGAGTGAAGACTCCCAAGTGGGAAATATCCTGACTTGAGCTGGACAGAGYCCTGAGGCAGTTGATCTGGGTTGACATTAGTCTTGATTTGAGCAGAAACTGGAGCCATACAAGGGCTYGGCTCACCTGGACTCTGCTGTGAGCTCAGGAATTGTCCACTGCCAGCAGGGTTGGGATTTCACCAAGCAGCCCCCATCCAGGGTTTGAGGGCCAAATACCAGTCCTATTTTCCAATCCCTTTTTGCACCCTTTTAGGTACAAGCCAGACACCATTCTGCCAGCTCAGGTTGACCAAAATCCCAGTCTCTGGTGAAGACAGAATTAACAGCTCCCCCACCCCCATTCCAGGGGAACAGAGGACAAACCTTCACTCCAAACCAGGGCAAGGGTCGTGTTCTGTTCCAGTGATCAGGAAATACTGATGAGTTYTGCTCCTTAAATTCAGCAGTTCAGAAGAACCAGAGAGAGAAAGGCAATGTTAAACATTCATGATGAACAGCAGCGAGCCCTAAATGCTGAAAAGTAGCCAAKGTTCATGCAATTATTTAATGTAACAAAGAACCAAGGGGTAACTCAGGAAACTGCAGGCTGCAGATAGAGGACACACAAAGACAGTTACTCTGGTAAAACAGGTAAGATTTTCTGGACCCACTTAACCAAGGTCAACCTACTTTGCAGTGCAGGCAGATAGCAAAACTCCYGGTTTGCCTGGAGCAGGAGGGGATGGCGGCATCCCCGCTGTCCCAGTTTCACTCCTGAGCTCTGCAGAGGACACAGACTGTGCTTAAATATGTCCTTAATAGAATGGGAAAAAAATATGCTAAAAAGAAATTAATTTCCAGCAAAAACCTGTTTTCAGTGAAAACAGAGGAGGTTCAGATTTCTTCCATATCTGTTTTGTCTTTCCTATTTGTTCCTCTTCCCCAAGCATTGCAAAAGCAATTCTGAGTTTTAAATTCTTAATTTTAAAACCAGTTCTCTGTTGAGCTACACTAGTCCTAGTTCAAYAGCCCAATAACAAACACCTCAGGAATTTTCAATGGTGCTGACTAGTTTAAACTGGCAGCAAAGCTTTAACAACTTTGCTACTGAAGTTGAATTTGTAAGCCTGTTTTGCTCAGAGATACACACTTAGGTACCTTCTCCTTAAAACTACTAGAGAGGAGATTTTGCTACTTTAAAAACATCTAACATTCTTGTCGTTCTCTAGAATATCTAATATCAGAGAAAGAAGTAGGGTTTTTTTCTCTGCTGAAAAGGGCTAGAGTACAGAACATAGAGGGAAAGGCTGAGCAAATTTGGTTTAGCCACCTGCAACTGCTTAAAAGGGATTGTAGTCCAGACAGTCATGCTTTTCTCACAGACACAATGAAAGGAAAAATGGCCATGGGCACAAACTCCAACAAAAGAAACCTTGATTGGCAATAATGAAAAAATCTTCCTCATAGGAGCAGTGTAACCCTGGAATGCAGGTGCAGAAAGGTTGAGAATTCTCTAGCCTGGGACACGCTTAGACCTTGATTAGGTTTGACCCTGACTAACTTGATCTAGCTTTGAGGTTAGCCCTGCTTTGAGTCAGGTAACTCCAGAGGTCCCTGCCCATTTAAACACTGTAATGACTCTTAAGAGTCCCCAGAACAAAAAAAAATAACTGTTATACTATCAGTTGATTAAAAAGAGATGTAACAAACTCTAAGCTTTATCTCACTGTAACCAGGCATTCACCTGGAAGCTTTCCCAGCCTATTTGTACAAAGCCCAMTTGAAAGGTCCCTCCAGCTTTGCTCAGGTTTTCCACATGCCTCACCAAGGGATCCTCTGTCCTGAGAAGTCAGCGGATCTTCTTAGCAAGTGATCTTATAAACAGCTCTCTTACAAATAAGTTTATCCTTTCATTAACCCTCCATCTTAAGAAGATGCTTAGCCCCAAATCCCTCCAGCACTGTGCTGGAAACCTTTCAGTCCCCACTGTACCCTCAGCAAGAGGCCAGCCGGGTGTTCTGTGGCATTCATAGTGTCCCCACCCTCCTCCCCCGGGAATTCCACGCTCAAAAGCTCTCAGGTTTAAAGTGCAGGGTCTGAAACTACTCTGCTGACTGCACCTGCTCTGCCCTCGTTTCCAGTAGCCACCCAGGGCTCTTGCATATTTTGCAGTTCTCCTGTTTCATGCTAYCTGCCTTTCTCTGTGCCTACTTCCATGAAAACATCACCCCTGACTTCTCTGAGSCACCAGAGCCCTCTTGGCAGAGCTGTGCCAGCAGAGCTCTGTGCCATAATTACACCACTCCAGTCCTGTTAGCAAAGCTAAGGATGACTCACATCAGCCTTTGGCATAGCTGTGTCCAGTAGGCAGGAGGTTATTCCAGAGTCCTAAATCACATCTGCTCTGAAGCACATTTTGGGTGACTGGTTGCAYAGCAAAAGGCTGGCTCTTCAGTGCAGAACACCCGTGCAGGATGTTCACATGCTGCTCAAACTACAGCAATTTTGGATTCAGTGTTCATACAAGAAGTACCTTGCTGAGAAAATAGTCTCTGGGATTACACAGTACCTTTTAGTCACCTGTCCATGWAAGCACAGATGGCCTCGGGCTGGGAGGGAAGTGTTTGTACCAGCACACGCTCTGTGGAGGCACTGTGAACCCAAACAGATCTTTAGGATGCTTCGTTCCCTCTCAGATCCCTTCTCCTCCCTCTGTTGTCTGAATTTCGAGCAGCCTTGCTCAATAAACCCTTTCTGCATCTTTCTGCACTCAGGGTTGAGATGAGCTGACCCAGCCCAGGGCTCACATGTGGGCAGCTCTAAGCCATGGGATGTTCCCAGTGACCAGCCAGAGCCCTCCAGAGTGAGGACAGGAGTCCCTGCGAGGACGCTCACCCCATAGCAGCCATGGACTCAAACAAACACGAAGGTAAAGCATCCTCTTATTTCACTTCTTGCTAGTACGAGACAGCAAGGGAGGAATGTGCTCTCACAGGATCTGTCTGCACTGTCTGCACTATCTGCACCAGTCCCAGTCTTGCAAGCACCAAGATGTATCCATGCAATCAGTCCTTGCTAAGGTTGGCTGCACTTCCAGAAAGCCTGCAAAGCTCAAATTCAGGGGTTTAGTGGTTACTGACTTCTTTCAGAGGAATTTGGTTCTTTTTTCCAYCCCAAACCCCTTGTGCTCTGCCTTGCCACCTCAGAGGCACTGTGTCCATATGCAGAGGAACTTTTCAAACTGTGAGCAGGGAGAGCAGCTTTAGGAGTGCCCACAGCTGTCAGCTCAGGAGAGAGACTGRACCACCTCTTTCCCTTTTAAAAGATGCTTAATAATGCCAGTATTCATGGCATAGTTAACAGAAAAGGTAATTTCTCTATTAATATTAWTATTGTTATCCTAATTTGAAATTAGGTCTGTGTTCCCAGGCCCTTCCACTACAGCAGGCTGAAAAGGAAATTAACTCAGGGATTTTTTCCAATTAATTGGTGTGCCCTCACAGGCTGCAGATGTTCACTGCAGAAACTGAGAGAGAACCACAAAGAAGTCCCTTGTTTCCCACAGTGTGACTGTGAGGAGCCTCCTCTGCTCCAGCTCTTAGCAGTGACTTTGTAGAAATGATCTGGGTTTTGACTGGGTCCATCCAGAGGTGGGAGGTSAAGTCACAGSAGCAGTGATCCTCTCCCCAGCTCTGGTCTTGCTCAGGAGCAGTTCCTTGCTTTGASGGTATCCAAGGATGTAACAGACTGATCCACAATCAAATCCACATGGAAGATCCCTACAGACTCCTGCAGGGCTTGGGTCAGGCCCTTGTGTTATAGAKCAGATTGAAAGACACCCAAAGAAAATGTGGGGAGGCTCTTCCTTCCTGTGCTGTGTTTCTGCCTCCAGTCCTTCAGTCCTTCACACAGCTCAGCATTCAATGCTCTCTCCCATTTTGTAAAAACAACATCTCCCTGTCCTCCCAGCATCGGATTTGTGTTGTACCATTAATTCAGAAACACGTCCTCTTGCTCTTTTTGGGTCAATCCTTACTATCCCACAGCAAAGGCCCAACAGAACAGGCATGGGCCTCAGTTTCCATGATTCATGAGGATCACTGTACACACAGGCTGTCTTCTCAAGCCTCAGCTCCAGGCATCATGAGAAAGCTTCAGGCCAAAGGCTGGTTTCTAGCTCATGTGGTTGCAGAGAAAATCTGGAAAAAAAAAGACACAGAAAGGCTAAAGCTGAAAATGAAAACAAGCTGTTATTTAAAGTTGAAATGTGAGACTTGGTGCAGGTTGAGCCCTGACCCCAAACAGCTGGCAGTCTGGAGTCACAGTTACTTCTCCCCATCAGCCTGCTGCCTCTTGTTTTCCCTAGGAGGATGCAGGAGAGGATATTCCCCAGAGGGTCAGTGTCTGACCCAGCTACCCAACCCCACAGCTGAGAGAGCCACCAGCACAGGCAGGAAGTGGCACATGGGCAGAGAGGAGCCTCTGTGCCTCTCCCTTCTGAGATTCACTGGGGAATTTGCTCAAGTTCCTCTGAATCAGGACAAATCCTAGAGACCAGAACAGGGCCATTTCATAGGTGTCCTTGGTGGTAACCCACATTCCCCCTCAGGGGTAAAGAAATCAGAATGGAGCAATGCCTTGTATAGCTCTGACTCCCAGGCTTCAACTTTCCACTGGCTGATTGGGCAGAGTCCTCCCTGCATGCTTTTCCAGCCTCTGCAGGACTGAATTTCCATGGTCTTAAAGGCCCAGGCTGGAAAAGCACCAAGAATCTGCATGGAAAGAAGGAGCTTGGCTTCCCTTGGAGTTTGGCACGGGGTCACTGGTCATGTCTGTGACTTAACAGCAGTGATGGGTGAAGCAAATCCTTGGAGGCAAGAGAAAACCCATTTCAGGGAGGGCATTCCCAAGKGGAGGCAATCCAGATGAGGAACAAAGTATTTTCTGGAAGTAAGGGCCAGCAGGGACCCTGATGGAGGGAATAACACGATGACCATTGGACTAAAATTCCCTTAAAGTGCCATGGCAGCACCACCACCAATCCTTCCTGCTGGACAACTGAAGGATTCTGCACCTTAAAAAGGTCCTTTTCAGCTCAAATGATTCCATGATTCTATGATTAATGTCTAGAGACAATGTCTCTCTGCAGTGTCCAAAATATTTCTGCAAAATAGTTATAATCTCCTCCTTGAGCTAAGTCTGTTTCAGAAATGTTAAGCTGTTCAAGATCAAGTGGGATCACCACGCCACAACTGCCCAGGAATGATGAAACCAATTAAAAGGTGTAATTTTTTTTGGTGTTAGAAAAGACATGATTACTGTTTGGAATGTATTGTGACAAATTATAAATTAGGGTTTATAATATACAGATAAGGTCAGCCTTTTGTGGAGATAATAGAAATATGTACAGATATAGTAGAGAATAAAATTTACTGTTTCAGAAGAGAAACAGATCAGTAATGCTTTAGGACAAAAAACCAGTCACCTAAGGCTGGTACACTTCACAGGGAGCAAATTAGTCCTAATTGCACCTCCCAGCTTTCTCACTTCCTTGCATGGATCATGTCTGGCCAGACATAGGACAGCAAATAAGGTGAATTTAACATCTGAATTTAGGTGAGTCATTCCTATTTTATAATTGCAGCTTATTTTACAAAAGATACAGTGTTCAGACCTCCTAAAGTAAGACTTGAGTCCTTTAAAACTGATTCCTCAAGTTCCTCAAGAGGGACTTCAAACCCTCTGTTCCAGTTATTTATAGTAACCATTATAAGTCATTTTAATTGACTGAAGTTCTTTATTCCCACAGGAGGGACTGAAAGTGTGCCTGTGAGTACCCCTGCAACACAGATTTCCCAGGTAAAGATGAGCAAAATGCCCTAAATAACTCCAAGAGTTTAAAGAGTTACTAATATATAAACAGTAGTAAAAAAGCTAAATTAAGTTGAAGGAAAAATGTAGGCATTTACAAGAAACAYGGCAAACAAAATGTTCACACTGCATGAACAAATACCACACGTCTTGGGCCTCATCTTAAAAGACCTTTCAGTAAAATTTCTCTGCTCACAACCAGTTTTTTTTAGACAGGTGATTTGTGAGCTTAGCTAATTAAGCAACTGACATCATTAACACCAATGAGAGAATGTCAATCCACGGGGCTGGAGGGAGATGTCATGACTGAGCTTTGATGAGCTTTCAGCAAACCCGATGAACTGTCCCAGCAGCAAGGATCTGTGGRCTGACATGGGGCAGGGGTGTCTTCTGCAGCAGGGACCCAAGTTTTCTGTGGGGCTTTGTGTTATCCTGGCAGCCTCYCAGCTCCTCAGACCAGGGGGTGCTCTCTCCTGATAATCCAGACAGAAATGTGTTGAGTCTTTCTGCATGTCTCTGCCTGGCCTTCCAGCCAGAAGCTTGGAAACCCTGTCTTTGAGCCCACGTTGGCTAAAGGTGACAGCTCCTCCTGAGCTCTGTGGCCTCTGCTCAGGCTGACATTCTTGCTGCAATTGGCACCACGGATGCAGTAAATCTGTCTGTACCCCAGCCCAGGGAGTACCCATCCTATACGGTTCAATTCCAGCCTTTCCACAGTGATGTTTCCCATGCATTTCCAGCCTGCAGGAAATGTGACAGAGTTTCAAGCACTTTAATCCCTGCTCTGGTTCAATATGGAACCATAATCTGAAAGAGGAAACACAGCCCTGAAGTGGAAATCCAGACTGTTTGAGACCTCCCTTGTCACCATTGCAGCACTAATGTCTGTAATTGCTTGGAAGTGCACCATGGCAAGTGGAGAAGGCACTGCTTTCCATGAACCACCCAGCTTCTCTCATCTCATCCCCTTTTTCTCATCCAGACAGCTCTGAGCAGGACCTGTGGCTGGGCTGCTGCAGGACCCAGCACCGTGGATCCAGCACACATGCTGGAAGCACCACACACAGATGCTTTCCTGCTGCCACGTGGGTACCTTAAGGAATCCTTGCATGTCTCYCCTCCTGCTCCAGCAAAGGCCCTATGGACAATGCAGTTACCAAAAGGGATGCACAGATGTGGAATGAGGATGATGAGCACTTGCAGCSCCCTTTAAGTACCTCCATTGTTCTCTTCTGTGCTTACCCTGCTGCTCTGGCTGTATTCCTACCATCCTTGCCTAGGAATGTATATGCTGGATATACTCTGAGGAGCAGGTTCTTTATCACTGTAAATCACTGTAGCTCTACTGCTTTCCTGCTATGAGGCACTGCAAGCCTTCCTAATGCTTGGCTGCAGAAGTGTTGCCCTTAAACACAGGWGTTAGTAGCTGTTCTAAAAATGAGTTGTTTCCTGGTAAAAGCATGCATCATGCAACTCAGAAAAATGAGATCCCTGGCTTGTGGCAAATGCTGGACTTTGTCCCAGATTGGTTTCAAGCAGTGACCTCAGGTAGCTCTCTCTTCAGTGACACAATGTCTATTTACTTCTTCAGACCAGCCYCAAAAGATGTGCAAAGTAGTGAACAGTAGATAAGCTGGGGGAAGTAACACAGACAGCACTCCTTCACAGCCACAGGAGGTTTTGTTCTTTTCAAGGGTGTATCTATAATAGGAAATTGTTCTGTGCAGTATCCATTCATCATGAGCCTGGTTTTGAGAGGCTTCAGCTCAAGGTCCCAGACAGCAGGGACTGTTCAAGTGTAAGGACTTAGGCAGTGCCAAGGGTGGCAGAAGCAAATGGCCATCCCTATGGAGACAGAGGCCTGGACAGCCTGGCCAGTGCTGGGGGAAACCTGGGGGGACACAGCTACTCAGAGAAGCAAGGGCTCCCTCTCATCTTTTTAGAGCAGGGACCCAGCTCACCAAGGCTCTGCTGCCCTCTTTCCATCCCATTCCTTCCTTCCATAAGCCATCCCCACCTGCTGGCCACAGCCCACTTCCCTGGGCTGCCTCAAAGCCTGAACAAAGCTTTAGGCAGCAAGGACAGTCATTATCTTTCACAAATATCTCACATTGCTGACACCCACCAAGAGAGAAGGRGGAGACTCCTCAAAACTCTCAGYTTTGCTGCCTGTGGTCTGGGRAGCAGCATCATTCCTGCCCACCCTTTGTGAACAGCATGGTTTTTCCACACAGAGCTGACAAACATCAGGACAGCAGGTGAAATGGGAGTCATGGGGCCCAAGACAGACACAACCTACTACAGACATGTGGCTCTGGATGCCTCATGCTCTGCTTTGTCAGGTTTGAGGGCCACACTCCAAAGGCAGATGGGCRCTGAAATCTGAATCTGGTACTAAATTATTTAGATGCCTGAATGCTTTTTTTGAACAGTTCTTGGGCAGGGTCTAAGGACTCCATATGACTCTGCAGATTCATTTATCCTCTAGGCATTAGTTCAACTTAAGTTGTTAAGTTGCTCCTTAAACTCCACAACTTAATGTTAAGGTGTTGTTTTCATTCCCATGAATGAGCGAGCCAGGGTAACACATTATAATTTAACTGTATTATAATATCTGTCTTTTTTGGTTAAGTGTTGCACTTAGAAACTTTAGAAACACACTGTTGTCTTGACTTTCCAGAGGGCTACAAACCTGTGAAATACMTCTCTGGTCCTGTAGTGATAACCACTTGGGCAACACAGGGGCAGGGGCTGATACTTCAATGGCTTCCAYCAGTTTAAACAGCTTTTGGGATTTAAAGGATGCTTTTCTACAGCTTGCTTTTAGAAAYGAGCTCAAACTAAAATTCATAGCTACACCATGCTTGGCAAGGGATTAAAGATAACATGCTGTTCCTGTACCACCACTTCACTCGATTTTGGCTCAACTCTGCATCCAATGCCACAAGACTGYATTTCCTTTCTGTGCTCTGAGCTGGGAGTTCTCAGGGTTTCAGCAYTTCATGTTCACTTGCACAAGTCCTGTGGCTGGCTGGTGTTCATTCTGGCTGCATTCATCCATCAAGCAGCAACACAAGGATGCARTTCAGTGCCTGAAATAGCCACTGCAAGCTGCACAGGGCTGAGGAAGGATGTGTGGGGCAGGACAGGCTCAGGCTGGGGTCTGGAGCACTGAGATGGACACAYGAAGAAACTAAGCTAGCACTGCAAAAGCAAAGCAAAAGCAGAGATTGGCCAGCTGCAAATCCCAAAACACAGGTCACTGTCTGCTCTTAGCTGCAGAGGATATTTTGTCCAGCCCCTAATCCAAATCTTTCYTTTTGTTGGCAAACTCTGCTTTCATAGTGTTTCAGTGCACATGAACACCAAGGTCTCTGAAGTGCTCCATTTTTGCTGACTTTTGCTGATGTCTTGCAGTTGCAGTTTTTTACTCTGAAACCTCAAGATCAGCTATGATTACCATCCCTATACCCTTCAAAGGATCTGTGTAGTTTACCCCTTTCTGGAAGCATCTGAGGAGGAGAAGGGCAGAAACATTTCATTTTGGGCTGATTCTCCCCAGATAATTTTATTTCAAGGGCCAGCCCCAGGACTGCTCCACTGCTAGCAAGACTTGGGGCTGTGATATTTCCATCCTGAAGCAGATCTCTATAGCGGATAGCACAGGATAGAGTGGAATAACATATTCCAGTTGGAAGGGACAGATCTGAGGAATCAACCCTTTTGACTCAGAGGGCAGTGTGGGATGCAGACTGGCACACAGACTGTGCCTTGGCCATGCTCAGGGGGGAATTGTGTCAAGCACCTCTGAGCAGGGATGGGAATATTAACATTTTGCACAGCTGCAGTGCTTTACAACCCTCCCTCCCCCATCTCCAGGCACACACATTGTTAGGATGGCTGATGATGCCACGACCATCTGGGCTGAGATATCAGAAGCAGTGTGGTCACTGTCTGCCCTAAGCTGCCCCTCCAACCCTTCAGTCTACACTCACAGGTCACAGGGTGCCACTGTGGACAAGAGGGTGGGGGAAGGGGTTGAGCCAAGGGGTCTGGAGCTCCAGTTGGCTTGGGGACTCAGGGTTTCCCTCCCATCATGAGGAGGGAAGATGTCCTCAGGCTCCTGCTCCCCTCTGCCCTGTCCCAGTGCCTGTGTGGCTCCTGCCAGTCCCACTCCTCCTCGCAGGCACTCAGAAATGTGTGTGCAGCCAGATCAGCCAGGGGGCAGYGGGGTGAGCGCTGGGGTAGGAGCGGGGATGGCAGGTAGGCATCCTCTGTAAAGACACCGCCAGTCTTGACCAGAGGAGGCTGCTGCGTGCCATTGCCCCGAGGTCTCGGAAGCCATCTCTGCTCCATTTGCAGGACTCAAGCGCCTGAGTTCCCGGGGTGGCTCTCCGCTTACCACCAGTGCTCCCGTTTTGGACTCAGTTTATAACCAGATGTTAGGCCGAATTTCTGTTGTAAAGGTAAAAACCTCTGTACTGAAGCGCCCGGGGCCGCGACCTCGCTGCGGGCTTTGTGCAGGCAGGACGAGCGCCTCGCCCAGTTCAGGGGGCACAGTTGAGGGGCACTGGCCCGAGCTGCTCCCACAGGGTGTTCCCTGCTCAGCCCTCACCAGCCTCCCCTCACTGCCCACCTCCACACTCGCCTTGTCTGCTTGCTCTGCCAGCCTGGCTTGCCCCAGTCCATCTCCTGCTTCACCTGGCTGTCACTGGCTGCCTCCGGCTTAGGTGAGGAGCTCTTCCAGCAGCATCAGGGACAGAAAACAGAGAGAGTGGGCACAGTGTTGCTAGATGCCAGGGGAAAACCTCCAGTTCCCTCCCCAGCACAGGTTAGAGCTGCCTAYTCCATGGAAAGGACAAAGGACAGAGCTCCTCCACAGCCCTTGGGGTTAAATTTGTGTGGGGAGAGTACCGGCCCCACGTGTGGGAGGAGGACTTGCTCARAACCAGACACATTCCTGATTATTCAGCTGCTTTGGAGATTCATAATCTGGCTGTTATTATTGCAAACCTTCTTGGCATGTTTCAGGCTGTCCTCTCCTTCTGCAGGCTGACAGGCTGCAAACTGCCAGGGAACCTGGAAAAACTCAAAAAATTGAAAAAAAAAAATAGCCTAAAAAAGAGGCACATTGATTGCCCAAGACAAAGACCTCCTACTCTGTACTGAGGCTGCAGCAGGGGCCAAACCTCTCCCCATGTTTCCCAGCCATGAAAGGAGGAGGAGAAAGAGGACAGCACCTTACAGGATGGGTTATTACACCCAGCCTTTGTGCCAGCAGAGTGACCCTCAGGGACACCAACAGCCGAGCMTGGGAGGAGGGACTGACCCCAGCACGTTTGTGGTTGCTGTAGTTGCAGGCTCTGGCCTCTGAGCTGAAGGCAGGTTTCACAGAAGCCATGCAGGAGCTGTCACGGATCCAGCATGGGGARTATGCCCTGGAGGAGAAGGTCAAGAGCTGCCGCTGTGCCATGGAAGAGAAGGTGGCGGAGATGAAGAATTCCCTCAACACCTTCAAGGTAGGACTGGGACCTTGGGGAGGCTGCACACATTCTACATTCCTCGTGTGGCAGAGGGAAGCACTGCCCTGCCTCCATCAATGCTTCCTGTTGGCAAAGAAAAGGAGTGGSCATTGTTTTGGATACACCTGGGGTACTTCCTTTGGCTTTGGGTCTCCCCYGACTGCTCCAACCCAAAAGTGACCCATACTCTGGCCTATTTATCCTTCTTGAGTGGCCATGAGGCAGTGTGGGAGTTACCTGGGCACAGGCAATCCTAGCTCTGGGCTCCACATGCCCATAAACCAAAGGGTTTATGGCCTTTCACAGGCTACTGCTGTCACTGTCCTGCACCTCTCCCTGGTCAGGTCTCCTCCATTTCCTGCAGGAACCAAAGCCACTGGAGAGCAGCAAATTAACACAAAACCCTACAGCCTTTTGAAGTGGCATTTCCACATGGCTGGGAGGAAGTGCTGTCTGATTTGATCTGGCCCAAGAGGATAAAGACAAAGGGCTGGAGAGACAGCCKAGCAAGAAAGTTTGGTGTACATTTACACCAGCCAGTGTCTCCATGCAGAAACTGGATGACTGCCTGTGAGGAGGCARGCAGAGGAACTCTTTTATTGTTTTTATTGCAAATTTTCCCCATGGGGTTTTGCTGAGTCAATAATACCTTSTGAAGTTAAAGAGGGCTGCTTACTGGAAAAGCCCAAACCCTGTGACAGGGAGAGAGATGGCACCAGGCAGAGGGAGCCCCTGGTGCCAGACCAGCAAGGGAGACAACAAAAAGGGTAAGGGCAGGTGGGAGAGGTCTCAGAGCAACCAGACACAGGGTTATCCWGGACATTGTTATAGGGGAAAAGGGGATTTAAAATCCAGATACAAGGAATTATGCCAGCAATATAAGGGACAAAGGCTGCCTTCTGTCTGCCTCATGCCCATGTTGACTGTTCAAATGCTGAGCTCCCACTGAAGCCACCTCCTTCCTCGGGGCAAGTCCTTTGGTTTACATGAAAMTCTCGAGTGTTTCTCCTCCATCCTGCTGCTCACATTCATGAAACCTGCAGGAACTTCATGCATCAGAGCTCTACATGTGASTGAGGCTTGGCTGAAGCTGCCTGAGGGAGGATGGACAGGGAGGATATGGAGGGCCTCATTTCCTTAGGAAACCAGGCTTAAAGGGCAGATCCAATGCCTGACTGGCAAAASCTGACACATGTGAGTGCTCACACTGGGATGTGACCCAAGTGCAACATGTGAATATAAATGCTGGAAAACTGCAGAGGGAAACGTGCTTCCTAAGGTCCCCCTCCAAATGCCATTAAGGGTAGGAGTCCACCCAGTGCTTTCAGCCCTGAGCCTCCATCTCCCACCAGTGCCCTGGTTTGGGTGAGTTTCCTGTAGAGTTAAAGATCCCCACGTTGTGTCACACCATGCATGGCACGTGTGACACATCCTGGACCTGCAAAGGAAGAGGGTGTAATCACAGAGCTCCCTGAAGCACCCTGGGAATGCTGTGCTTTTGCCTGTTTCTCAGGAGGAGCTCAGCGATGCAAAGTCAATGATTGAAGAAATCAGTGCCAAGCAGGAGGAAATGCAACAGAAAATTGAGCAGCTGCAGCAAGAGAAACGGCGGGAATCACGGAAAATGAAAGCCAAGTAAGGGCCCAAACTCCAGGGTGCTGAAAATGCTAATTAGCAGTGGTGTCCATTTTGTTCATTTCTGTATAGCTTAATTATTTTTTTTCCCCTGGCTGGACCTGTGTATCAACCCTGATTATRACCAGAAACGCTTCAGTTCACCCCAGGCTTTTAGACACACACCCAACAGGGAAAACAGAGCAGAAAAATGCTACCACTTCCCTGTGATTCCAACAGCAAAACAGCCCCAGCAGCTCTCTGGAGAACCAGGGTCTGGTGGAACACACAGACCCACTAAAGACATGCTGGGGCAGTGACACTGCTGCAAGTCAGAAGCCTCCAGCATTAGGAGGTGTTGCTAAGTCACTCCCATTAAGACAACAGCACTGCAGTTTCCCCTTTGCCCTTGCAGGACCTGGCGGGCTCCTGCTGGTGCAGTCATGCTCTGCTTTCCTGTCAGCAGCCTTTTCTCCTCTGAGCAGAGTCAGAGCATCTTTGCACACTGATGCTGTGATGGGGCAGATGSCTGTCCAGCCTGATTCTAATTAGCCTCTTTCTGAAAACAGTTTTGATCATGAGTCTATACAGTTGCCTTGGTGCAAACCCTTTGCAAATCTAGGCTAGGCCCTTAGCTAATTAAGCTATTTAATTAGATGAAATACGCTTGCAAAAGAATAGATCTGAAATAACCTTCTCCTATAGCCAGTGGAAGTTATTTCCAGAACATTGTTCTTGAACTGCCAATTCCATCCAAGACAGCTCCTTTCCTGATATCTGCTAGAGCTGCCCTATTTCTGACAGTGTTGGCCACAAATGCAGTGTAGAAGCTTCACCTGTAGCATTCAGACTTTGCAACCCCCTCTTTCTTTGTGTTTGTACAGGAGAGCACAGAAGGATGACCACGGATCACAGACAGTGCCAACACCTCTCCAGGGCAGCCCATTTCGATCCATCAACCTCCCAGAACCTGTGCTGATTAACGAAGATTTTACAAGTCTTTTGCACAACGTGACTTATGAAAAAGGTAGGAAATAGAAYAGGTAAATGCAGTGGCTTCCTTAGGAAAAAAAATCAGAAAAAGGTCACTGAGGTAACTGGGTTCAGGAAGTATTTGCTTCTGGAGCACTGTCTCAAAAAGCCATTTCTTGCCTCCTCCCAGGAAAGGGATGCAGGCTGGATCTTCATTCCTGTAGTGCTAGTGGCACAGACACAGAACCAAACAGGGACTCTTGATAAAAATCCYGGGTTTGTTTCTGTGTAATGGAGCAAGGCACAGGAAGGAGGATCACACCTTGAGGAGGAAAACACTGCTGAACACTTGGAAGCTGGAATCAAAGAAAAGGTGATGGACCAGAGCCTTTCATTCTATAATTAAGTTTGGGCATCTAAGCTGGTCTATCACTCTTTTGCTGTTCAGACAGGAAGATAATTTTAAAAATATACATTTTAAACGTTGACAAGGGCAGAGATTAGATGAAAACCGTGTGCTGTTTTCTACTCTGCTTTGCTCAGAACCTGCCAGTCACAGCCTTCCTCTGCCTGACACTCTGAGGTGACACATTAGCCCTCAAATTCCTCTTGCACAGCCACATTTTCCTTCTCCCACTGCTCCTTTCCTTCCAGTCTCATCCCTCTGCTCTTCAGTAAGTTCCTTTGCACTCCAAATGGCAGCCCTGTCTGTGTCAGGCCTCCATCCTCTGGCTCTGTATGGAATACTTTCTACCCAACAGACCAGGAGAAGCCAAAACTGCTCACATTCCTCTGCAGTCACACAGCACTGAGCACAACAGGGACCCCACATTCCGTGCCTGAACAGACTGTGACAAGAGCACAGCAGTCAAAATCCTCCTTACAGAGAGTCCAAAAGGGGTGTTTTCATAGCAAAACTGTGAAAGACTGGAGGATTTGACCTTACTGACAGGGCCTGGCAAGAGGAAGCCTGCTCTACAGTTGTCTTCTCTTGTTGAAATTCCCTTTGTTCTTCAACAGTGTCTGACACCAGGATTATGCCAATGGGAGAAGGAGCTGTGAAAGTCATAGCAGGCCCAGGTAAGAAAATACCAAACATCAAAAGAGAGCAGGACAATGATTCGATTGGAGTGCTTGCTTTACTGACCTGAAGAAATGCTTTCAGGGAAGGCATTTCACAGGGATGTCTTTCACTCTGCCATCTACCTCCATTTYCATCCTTGCAGTTGAGATACAAGGGAAAATGTCACTAAGTGTGCAATACCTGATGGTCARTGCCAAGGATTTGGCAGAGAAAGCCCTTCTGCTGTTGCTTTCTCAGATTCTAAGTGCTTTTGCAGAAGGGAATAATTGAGACTTCCTGATGTGATAAAAAATAATGAGAGCATCATTTTGTCATTTGGAAAGAGATGGTCTTTTTTCTTCTCTAACATCTGTCTAGTTTTTGATTTTTGGCCTGAAAATGCTGGAAGAGCTCACCAACTGCACTTTGTTTGTGAATTAATTCCACAAGGCTACAGCCCTTGTGAAGCACAAAGGATGCTCCAAACTCCCCATCCAGTGCTTCAAATGGATGGAAACACAGCTTAGCTGCCTGCTGTCAGGTGAGATGTCCCAGTACACAGACCTTTTGTCATTGCAGGAGCAGCCATGGAGACAGAGGACAGCCTCAAGCCTCCCCTGCCAACAGAGGGGCAGTCYAAAATGCATCTGCCATCAACAGTGTGGAAGCAGCCCAAGGACACCAAGGACTGGGGAGATGAATACATTTCCAAAGAGCAGCCAGAGAGAGGGAAAGACATGGGCCAGAGCAGATACAGCTCAGCAGACAACATCATATGTGAACCCTCTTTGGCTGGTAAGGAGCAGAAAACTCTGGCTGGAGAGGCTCAAAGCTGTGTCTGTGTCTGGTGTGAGCTGGCTGCTGATCAGCATCCATGCAGGGAGACACACAGGCCAGTTTTCCTGCTAGGGGGGAATTTCTCAGGGCCTCATGCTCCAAGACCYCTGGTCTGTGTTGGGCTGTGTGACTGACAGAATCACTCTGCAGCCATCCTCCTTTACAAGACATGTCAGGCTCAGAGTACCAATGGGATTGCAGCAGTGTAGCTGCTAAAGTGGGTGAAAAATACAACTTCTCATTCTGCAGGAGTTCTTTAGGATGGGAAACCCTGCTATTAGTTGTTTTGCCTTTGGTTGCTTGTTTTATTCTTAGAAAAATTTGGTATTCATAGGGGAAAGCACATTTGCTCTGGAGCTTTTTTAGCAAACTGAGGCTGTAGTCATGTCTGGGGCATGCTGCAGCATCAGGCTGGAGTTTTACATTTTGGGCAAAGAGGACACAAAAAGACAAGACATTGATACCGCTTCTAAACACGTTTCTCCTTTCCTGAATCAACATCAGCTCACCAGTCTAATATGAAGCTGTCCCTGAGGTCAGTATTTTCTTATTTTTAAACTTAACTTTTATCTTCTGAAAGCCAAAAGGCAGAACATCGCTTTGGAGCTGCTGGAGTCAGAAAGGAAGTATGTCATCAACCTTTCCCTCATCCTGAAGATCAAGGCCACACTGCAAGGGCCAGATGTGAAAAGAAGCACCAAAGAGAGAAGGTATTTGATGTMATGTGCTCTCTTTCTTTTGGGGAGTTTTCTTCAGTCATTATTCTTTCTGCATCACCCTCTCACACACTTTTTTTCATCCACACAGAGATCCTTGAACACTTAGTTTATTTCTACTTGAAAAGTGGAGGCATTGGGGGATTTGTAGTCACTACAGACTTTCCCATCTGTCTCTTGCATCTTGCCCACCATCTCCCTTCTGATTTAGGATAAAATCAGTAGCATATTTTGACCAGCTCTGTATCAATGGGTTGTCTCATTAAAGGGCCTGACAAATGACACAACACACAAAGCTGGGAGCTCTCCTCCAAGCTCTCAGTGAGACAGCTCAGGACTATGGTCCTGCATCATCAGCCACAGCAACATTGCCTTTTTAGTGCTGCTAACTCTGGGCAGCTACACCATGCATTGCAAAGCCAGCCTAAAAAGCCTTCAAAACACTTTTTCAATAGCCAGCTGGAGAGAGCACTTGCATGTACATCTCAGCCAAAACAAGACCCCTGATGCAGGCAGGACTGCAGCCAAATGARTTAATAACATCCATGCTACAGCAGCAATGACACATGTGGTTAATAATACATGTGCAAGGCTGTTCTGACCACACATKCATGCCCACTTCAGCAGTGTTCATTTACCAGGGACAAGGTTTTGCTCCATGTAACCRGTGTGATTTGGTCTCCCTTCAGTTTTTTCCCCAACTCTTTGCGGTTCCTGGTCCAGCAGCACGTGGATTTACTGCACGCTCTCCAGGAGCGAGTCCTGAGCTGGCCACGRCAAGGGATCCTAGGAGACATCTTCCTGAAGCTGACAAATGATGAGGTATGYTAAACACTCTCTAGAAACTTCTGTCATCATTCATGATGTTTTGTTGAGGCACAGGTGAGCTGAGACACCTTGCAGCAGAGGGGCTGTGCTGTGCAGCTGTGGCTGAAGGGTTTTCCTTTCAGCAARGCCCCTTGGAGCAGAGTCCTGGGGCATGGCAGCTCCTTTGTTGTTCAGGGATTCCACRTGCCAGACCCACCTGTGGGCAAGCAGCCTCACAGCACAGCTCTGTAACCAGAAAATGACAGCCAGATTCACCTGCAGGAGCCACAAAGGAATCTTGACAGCTGCAATAGCTGCATTTCCAGGGAGGGTGTGAAAAGAGTGTTTCTCATGCTCCTCTGCCCCAATACACCTTGCTCAGAGCTCTGACAAGCAGGTGGACAGGTCTCTTATCCCAGATGGTTTGTTGTGGCACTTCTACTGCCCTGGTGAGCAGTGGGACCTCTCCTGCAAGGATGTGTAAAAGCTCATCTGATATTTTATGAATTTYAAGATCTTAGATAAGAAAAGCTTCTGGCTGCCCAGCCTCTCTACCTCTCCCCCACCTGCTGTAAAGCTTCACACACTGTGCTCAAAAGCTGAACATTTTTTATAAAGCAGATTTTGCTGAGAAATTCCAAACCCTGCAGCTCTGCTGCACYRRTGACCTTCCAGCAGTGGTGGTGGGRAATCAGCACTTTGGCTGGCTCTGYGACCACAAATCTCTGTTTCTTTGTTCTTTTCTCTTTCCCTTTTGGAAGAATAATTTTCTGGACTACTATGTTGCTTACCTGAGGGACCTGCCAGAGTGCATCTCTCTGATCCACGTGGTGATCCTGAAGGAGGTAAMTCCCTGCCTGCTTCCCAGACATGTGATGGCAATGAGCAAATCTGGATCTCCTCCTGTTATGCCTGCCCATGACAGGACTGTCCTGCCAATCCTTGTTCTGCTGCCAAATCCACTTTCCTGGAGGCTGCCATGGCTGACAGGCACCTACAAAATGCAGTTTTTAAGGTGTTCATCACTGTGTGTAACCAAAGCTGTGCCATRAAACAATGCCTCAGATGAAACCTCCCAAAATCTTGCCCAGGCACGTGCTATCCACACCTTTTCCAGGCAAGTGTCGCCTGGAAAACGGAGGACTCATCCAAACAGATCAAGAGTGAGCTGTAAGTGCTTTATAGAGGAAAAAGTCCTCATTTTCAGCTTCAGGTATTTGGTTTCACACCCTTCACTCTTGGTTTAAACAATGAAAGTTAAATATGAAGGGAGTTTAAACTGCAATAACTAAACCACAGTTGTCTGCTTCCAAGATGTTTTAATTTAGAAGTCAATCTCATTTCGTTCAATTCATTTCACCCTAAACCAAGAACTTAATTTTGAACAACAGTGCCTTCTTGGGGCTTCACTGAAACTTTACTAGTGCACTTTCAATATGCACTAAATTAATTATTGATTAATTAATCAATATGCACCCCTACTTAATTAATTAGGCTGAGTGCCCCTAGTAGATAATCCCCAGCCTGAATAAACTGTTGTAACTCGTTACAGAATAACTGCTCATTAAACCACAGAACCATCTGGAAGCAGACATGTTTTATGGGTGGAAAAGGCTCTTAAGTCGCTTTCTCTATTTCAGGTAGAAGAAGAAATCAAGTCTGACCTCTACATTCTGTTCTTTCACATAGTCCAGCGAATCCCTGAATACCTTATCCATCTCCAGGTAGGGCCCCAGGGTGGAAACTGTCTYGTTGAACTCTTATCACATCAGGTGACTCTTAACTCAGAGCTGGTACTTGGGTCTGTACACTTACAGGGCCTCTGGCAGATGTAGTGGGCTTTTTGGGAAAAAAAAATTGAAAGGGAAAGCTGGCTAACAATAGCTCACTTATATTTGCCAGCTTCTCCATATGACCTGGCACAAACAGCTTTTATCCCATGGGAAGCCAAAGGCTCTRCTGCCTGCTGCTCTGGGAAAACAGGAGGCCAGAGATGTGACAYATCTGAGAGGGCTCCTAAGGCTCAACAACCTGTCCTACACAGAGATGGCTGATAAAATGAGTTCTGGTTCACAGAAGGCTGATCTGAATKGTACTGAAACATTTCAGACAAGGCAAATACTCAGAAAGCAAGCCCTATAAAATCAGAACATTGGTTTCTTTATCCAAAACTAAACCCTACAAGTGCATCACCCACACATCCCATGATTACACTCACAGAGGTTTTTTGTGCATTTGCACTGGACTAGTGGGAGGCAGGCCCCATCCAAATCCCTCAGAAACTTGTGCTGCCTGGAAAAGCTCTACAGGGCAGTGCCATGAGCACTCCAGAGCCCTAATCCATGGCTCCAACAGCACCTTCTCCCCAGCAAGGGTCAGGACAGCCTCCAAACAGCCTGCTCTCCTCTGTGCCTCAGAATGTCCTGAAGTTCACGGAGCAAGAGCACCCTGACTATTACCTGCTGCTGGTGTGTGTGCAGCGCCTGCGCGTTTTCATCTCACACTACAGCCTGCTCTTCCAGTGCAATGAAGACCTGCTGATACAGAAGAGGAAAAAGCTGAAGAAGTAAGTACAGCATCAGTTCATTATCACCAGGGARGGGAGGTGTGGGGGAAGCTTGGAAAACAGGGGGTTTAGGTCCAGGCAAGATCAACAGGCACTGAGGTCATATTTGAGGTGGACCCTTCAGTCTAACTCTGAGAGTGCAAGAAAAATCACTTCCAAATCCTTCTAAACACAGCAGCCACATGTTTCATGGGATCATTTGATTCCTTAAGCTGGTGGCAAACTCACTYCCCAGTGGAAATTTAGCTCTGGCAGCTCCAGGCCCACAAGGTGAGGTGAAGACAGTTTCCTTTATGCGCCAAGGCTCCAAAAGAATGCTATTACCTTATTTTACTGGGGGAGAAAGTGGGAGAAACKAAAGCCTCCCATAACCTGTTTGAGATGAACTATGACAGAAATTACCCTGAATGCAGATTCTCAAGTGGCASTTCAAAACAATTCCTTGAAATCAAGGCCTACAACTAAAATAGAATCTGGTTGYCTTTGCCCCTTGAGATGATTTACCTGGGAAGTAGGACAAGATCCAATTTCAAGGAAAGCTTCCAAGTATGGAGGGTGGTAAAGAGCTGGAGCAGGCTGCTGGGGAGGGACTGCTATCAGGAGAGGTATTAAGAATAAGACAGAAAGCGSGATGCCCTGCTGACTGGAACAGATGAGGTGGAACAGGCTCTTCCTTGGGGTGGGCAGAGGTGAACAGGGGGAATATTAAGGTCCCTCCCAGCCCTGTTTCCTGTGATTCTACCTGCTGGTGCTCATTCCCTGCCTTATTTCTTAGCCCGACGATGGATTTCTCGTCCCTCAGGTCATCCCTGGTGAAGCTGTACAAAGGCCTCACCTCCCAGTGCACAAGCCAGGAGGTTTCTCCAACACCCAGCGCGGCATCAATGCGGGACAGCGGGATCCACACGGAAGAGGCAATGCAGTCCTTCCCAGCAGCACCTTCCTCTGGCACAACCACCCCGTAAGCCTGTTGTCCTCGTGGGCAGCTTTCAAAGTAGKCTGGACACTCTTTTCTTGGCCACACCATGCCAGTGACACCAGGCAGCTCCAGGCTGTCATTTCCAAAACCCCTCCATGAACATGGATAGAGATGAAGGGCTGGCTCCATCCTGCTATCTCCTGCCACAGAGTTTACAAGCAGGGAACATTTCAGAGCTCTACCCAGGGCTTTTTTAACAGTGTGTTAGGGAGGACACGAATTTGTGTAGGCCTGGCAGTGGTGTGCACACAGTAACACTCTGCATTATTCACTGGCAGCAGTACAGGAACTCAAAAACAGGACCAAGGTCTTAGACAAGGAAAAAAATCCTTTTCCACACTGCACATAATGGAATGATGTGATTCAAAATCACAAGATATAAGTGCAAAAGGGGTTCCAAATGACTAATTAAAGACAGGGCTACTGTTCTTTCTAACCAGCCAGCCAATTTCTGTACGTGACACCTCTGTTACTGTTCTCCAAGGCTGGAGAATACCTTTTGGCCATAAAATCAACACAATAGGGCTGGGGGAGGGAAGGGATGGGGGAACTCCTCATGCTGTCTCTACCATCCTTTAGTATTCCACTTCCTTGTTTGTTTTGTTTTGTTTTGTTTCTTCTTAAGGCATTTGATGCCGCAGATGAAGAAACCGCAGCCAAGCGTGATGGAGAACATCCAGGCTGTAAAGCCCCCTGACTGGGAGATGGAGAGCAGAAAACACGAGAGGCCAGAGAACATCCTGGCCTCCTCTCAGCTGACAGAGCAGGAACTCAARGCCTTGACAGCCCCCTTGCAATCCATCCCTGAAATGGAGTACGAAGCACCCCCGGCTGACGCGGTGGGGAACCCCGAGAGAGCCATCAGAACCTCTGTGGAGCTGCTGCAGGACGCCAGGAACTTTGCCCCGAGCTACGAAGAGTTTGAYTACCCCGGGGAGGTCTTCACCATGCCAGGCCCCTACGAGGACGACACCTTCCAAAACCTYGCTCTCTTTGAGAACTGCTCCCCGGCCTCTTCCGAGTCCAGCTTGGATATTTGCTTCCTTAGRCCCGTGAACTTCACCTCAGAGCCRGAGAGGACAGACCACGCCTTGCAGCCGCTGCCTAAGAGCTGCACTCCCGTGAGCAGCAGCACCTACAAGCGTGAGATGTTCCACAGCAAAGGGAAGCAGCTGAGCAGGTCCCTGAAGGAGCTGCCGCGGAGCGCGGAGGGCGTGAGCACCAGACTCTACAGCACGAGGAGCAGCAGCGGGAGCCGTCTGCAGCAGAAGCAGGACAGGAATGTTCAGCCTCACATGATCTCAGCCTCATCTCGAAGCTCCCAAAGGAGCTACTTCCCCCCACAGAGAGGAGCGGGTGAAAAACCGAGCTTTTTGGAAGTAAGGAGGATTAAATAGGAGGAGGAAAAAAAAAAAATGGCACGTGGTGGTGCAGCAGCAGCAGCAGCAGGAGAAAGATCTGAGATACAGTTAGAGTAGAACACGCCAAAAAGCTTTCCAGCCCACACATTCCAAGTCCTCAACTGCATGTACATGCCCAAGGGAGGGACGAGACAGCTCCTTTTCACACACATCTTRCCCAGGGGTTGAGGTGCACAGCTGSCTGAGCTAGAACACCCTTGAGATGAGGTAGCCTCTGGTGAGTCTCCACCTGTCACCGAGCTTGGTCATGTTCTGAGCAGGTCACAAAGTTTACACAAAGCTGGTCAGAATTYGTGCTGTGGTTGGCACCCAGGTGCACAGGTGCCTTTCCACCTGCTGTGAGGAGTGCTGGGTAAGTGCTGGGGAAGTCATGCCACTGTAAACCAGCATGGCTTGGCCAAACTCAGCCCATTCACACCAGCAAGGATCTGCTCCGTAGGTTTTGTTCCACCTGTGTTTGTTGCCTGGATTGTACAGACCCAYGACAGTCTCTGTGAGAACAGAACCCAGCAACTCTGTCACTCACATGGGACATGGCAAACAGCCCTCAAAGCCTTCAGGTCCTGCAGGAGCAAGGTTTCTGTAGTTTGCAGGGTATGTTCAGAGTCAGCTTTGGGCTGTCACAGCCAAGGAAGTAGAGGCCAAGGATGCTGTGAGGTGCTTAAACAGGAGCTGTAGATGCAGATGATGATGGGAGGTAGGTTCCAACAGCCTGACAGAAAAGGCAGCAAGGAAACTTCAAAAGAAAATTTTAATAAGCCCAGCAAGTAAGGAAGGTGTTGGATGGCTGACCAGGGGAGAGGAGGCAGAGGAAGAAGAGCCATGGGGATACAGCCACCCCGGAGAAAGGGGTCTCTGAGCTCTTTGACACTCCCTGCACAGAGCTATGGCCCACAGCAGGGTGCAGATGTGGAGCTTGCCCAGAACTGCAGGACAAGTTCTCCCCCATGGAGCAAAGGAAATCACCGTGGCAGTGGTGGGCAGAATTGGAGAAAAGGGTCTTGTCCAGAGTCTTGCTGACAGGAGCTTGGCACTCTGCTGAAAGAGGGAAAGACCTTTTTGTAGCACATTTAGCAGAAGGTGTGCTGATGGAGATGTAAAACGATGCAGCAGCAGAGCCAGCAGAAGAGTTTTTCACACCTTCAGAAGCCTGAYCCCTCCCTGCCCTAGGGGAGAAAGGAGAGGGTGGGAAGTTCTTCCAACTGCCCGAGCTGGCAAAAGGAGCTGGTGAGCTGCCCTTAAACAAAAAGCTTAGCAAGAAAGGCTCCAGATCCCTCTAACAAAGCTTATCCTCCTATTCCTCTGCCACTGCCTCAGCCTTAGAGCCAGCAACAAGCTCTCTGCAGAGGCACCAGTGTTGTTTCCCAGCCTTGTCAGTACCTCCTCACCCACCAGGTCCCTCCTAGCACAGAGAGAGAAAATAGAAAAGAGAGAGAAGGAAACAAGAATGTGAGGTTGCAAATGCTGGTTAAATTGTCTTTTCCCTTTTAGGAGCTCCATGCAGAAGACAACACCAGGTTCTGCCAGAAGGATGACAATGAGCAAACATCCTTCAGCGACCACAACCCGCGGCACGAGCCCAAGGGGGGGTTCCGGAGCTCCTTCCGCAAGCTCTTCAAAAAGAAATAATGCCCGAGAAAGGCAGGCCACAGCCAAAGCACAGCAGTGCTTCCCCAGGTCCCCRAGGGTGGAGACAGACAGCCAAGGCCCCAGGATCCCCCTGACTAACACAGAGGGTGGAGGGTGGGGGAGAGGAGACTCTCACAACTGCCTTACAAACGCATCCTGCTCTTTCTAGCACAGGGCAGGGCCAGGCTTTGGGTTGCAGTGGAGCTCAACCAGCAGGTCCAATAAGCACAGGAACTTGCTAGCTTTCATCCCTACCTGACTGAACTTCCCTCGGGTTTGGAAAGCTTTGGCCAAATCCCGCTATCTCCTCYTCCCCCTCATCCCCACAACTGCTTGATTTGCCATACATCTCTGCTCTTCCAAATTCAAGGCAGGTGTTGTTTGGGCTCACCCACAACAGAAAGGTTACAAAGAAACTTTGCAGCCCTGGCATGCTGGCCAGAAGTCTAAAATTCCCTTCTTTCCTCTACTTTCCAAATAAACCACCATCAAAGATGTCTCCCAGGAGGCCAGCTCGCATCACCCAGGTGGTTTGAGGAGATCTGAGAAGCATCAGCTGAAGCATCCAAGCATTGCACTGCTTAATCAGCAACATCCTTTCTTTGGGACTTCCATCACTCCCCAAAATCCTATTTCACCTTTTATGTGAAYGCTGTTCCCTGAATGGCCTCCTGCTGTAGGAATCACTGCTTCTGCTCTCAGAATTGTCTGTGTCTCCAGGCAGGTGACGCAGGCTGGGCCCCCACAACACAGACTCAGCCCCACTGTGGATCAGTGCAAACACTGGGAGTGCCAAACAGTGTCCTGGCTCCTGGTCTGGAACACACCTGGAACACACTTTGCTCMCTCTTTGGCCTCACAAACCCCATCACGTGCAGCTTTGGAATGGTTCTTCCAGAAGCATCAGGGCAGGAAAGGTGATGGTGCACCACACCAAGAGTCATAGGCCCTCCTTCTCGTGCAAGGACAGATCAGAAGGCYACACACAGGCCACCCTCCTCACACAGGGACACGACAAACCCTCAGTAACTCTGACCTGTGCAGAAGACAGAGAGAAGCTCTGCTGTGATCCCCATGACACCCCTGGCACGGCAGCATTAGCAGTGCAGCACTGGTGTCACCTGAAGCTGGGATGTTCTGAGGCCATTTCCAACATCAGCTGTGGGTTCATCACTTGTTTTGGCAAGCCTGGGACGCTGCTCTGTCTAAAGGACAGCCTCACCTCAAGAAGTTGGGAACTGTCTCCATGGGGGCAATGCTTTGGGGGAAACACTGTGAGACTGGGGGCTCAGGACTGCCAGCATCAGTGAAAGGGTGGTGAATTTGGGGCCAAGAGAAGAGCACCCACTCTCCTGGCCATGGCAGCAGGGCAGGGGAGGCCCAGAGCAGCTGTCCTTGCATGCAGTGGCCAATATTTGCTGTAGATGAGGGCCCAGAGCTCTCCAGGGTTGACCAACCTGCATCTACCACCTGCTTTTCCTCCTSTGCTGGAGGCGAAGAGGTGTGTGTGAAAAGGGCTATCCAGACASACAAAACTCATCCTTTACTGCAGCCAAGGTTTTCCTATTCCCTTTCAGTGAAACCCCAGAGATTAAAATGTTTTAGCTGATGCCTCTCCCATAGATTTTAATGAAACAAAAAAAATCACTTCTCCTTACAAAAAGGAAAGTTGTATTTTCCTCCCCTAGCTTTTGGAAACTATTGTGGGAAGATTTTTTCTTAATGTAAGGCTTTTAATGGCCAAAAAACACCCCAAAAAGCTTCCATCTCCTTCCAATTCCCTATCATCCTCATAAAATTACAAATTCCCTGGCCTTTTCCAGTCAGGACTGCTCCATGCTGACCAGCCACTGAATCAYAAAGACAATTCCTAGGACTTGGCAGCTTTCAGTCAGACTGTGCAGGGCCAGGATAGAAATTATGTAGGAAGAGCCAGATAGCTGTAATTGAAGCATCAGCAAAGCCTGCACAGGAGTCAGCCACAGACAGAACAATTTGTTTGTCCATGGAGTCAGAGTTGTGTCATTATGGACACTGTAATGCACTAATGCTGTCAAGGGCTCTGATTGTGAGTTTGGTCTTAATTTATGAAAATGACACTTTTATCCTTCATTAGAACAAACCTGCTTTTCATATTTGCCAGGCAGATGCCAGGACAGAAACAGGACAAAGGATGAAACCTACCTGCTAACATCTCCTGGGTGAGGAAATCATTCCAAAGTGGCAGACCCTTGCTTGTAAAAYGCATGTGGATTTCAGCTTCTATTTTAGTGATTTAAGGCACAGTCAGAACTGATGGTTATTTCTTTCTGATTCTCTATGAGTTCTCACTYCCAGGCCTGTACTGATCACTTGAGATGTCCTTGTACCTGCTCAGAATCTGCAAATGTAAATAATATGAATGAATGATGCTCAGCAGCACACACACATACACACACACCCCACTTGTTGCAGGATCCATTTCAAATCCATCTTTGATGTATATGTGTGCTCTGGATTATTTTTCTTCCTGTGCCAAATAAATGTTGCCTTTAAATAATGCTGTTGCCTCTTGCACTGAAATCAGCCAAAAAAACCCCACCTTATTCCAAAATAGATTCAACAGGTTTGTCCAAAGCAATTCCAATAACATCTGCCCCTGATCACCCATCTTTGCTTATCTTCTTTTAAAAACTATTACAGATGTCCTACACATTTGGCAGCTAAATTGCCATGCATCTGGCAAAAGTGATTTGATTTGATTTTATTTTTCCCTTTCAACTTTTCAGACACCCAGTACAGGATTTCATATTTGCTGACTAGAGTGTACRAAAAACAAAACCAACTTACTCTTTACCTTGTTTCCATTACAATGTACTATTTTCCACTGAACCAAAGGTAAATTTGCTCTCAGTTGACACAAAAATGCATTTAAGGGTGGTTTGGTTGTTTAATGGAAAATAAGGAATGGRATTTACAAAGAAAGTTAAAAGCACTTTTGTTTTCACACCTATACTGGGCCACAGTTTTCTCTCCCAAAAAAAACCCCTTCACCTATGCACTGCCTGGGTTTAGAAATGGCATTTCAACAATCTTTTCCATGAGGCACAATGATCTACTCTGTTCAACTCCATGGCACCTCCAGTGATATCACTGAGAAAATCTAATTCAAAATGAACACACAAGAAAAATAATTAAATATCCCACAATGTCACTYTAAAACTTGAAGGATCTAAATCCAGTGTATTTGCAGGCTCTTACTGACACAGACCTCTCCCTTCCCTGATTTAAGAGACCACCTCTCTGGACAACCTGTTCCAGTGGTTTATCACACTCACTGCAAAAAACTCTTCCTTATATTTTGTCTAAATCTACCCTCTTTTAGTTTAAAGCTGTTACTCTCTGTCCTGTTGCAGGAGGCCCTGCTAAAGAGGTTGTTCCCACCTTTCTTACAGAACTATTAAATTCTGATGCATAACCCTGCCTACAGAGTTTGCAGTGGTTTTGGCTGACTTTAGTCACATTATCAGCTCTCTGSAGTAACACAGCAACTCTCCAGCCCTTCACCACGGACATTTCATTGTTCAGATCACAGCATCACCCCAGGCCACACCAGACTGACCAGAGTCATTTTACCCAGCAGATGGAGTGCACCATTACAATGATTTCATTTCTTATGTGAAAACTGTTGTCGCTAATGCAAACATGATCCAAATAAGAAGCCATTCCAGATCAAAAATTAACACAAAGCTGTTGTGACACAAACCAGTGTCTTAGCAGTTGTAKTCAAATCCTAAATATTACAGGTTTGATCCTCACCCTGTCCTTCCTGTTGACTCCAGCTGAGTCAACACCATGATCTGTTCACTGTGACTGAACCATGGGCTCCAAGGAATATTTCCTTTAGGTTCTTGCATGGTGACTATTGTCATCTGCTGCCCAAGTACCTCACCAGCAAAGCATTTTTATCCTCAACCACAAAGAGGGAACAGCATTCCCCATTTCACAAAGGAAAGCACAGACCTACTGACATTTAAGAAATTTGATTARCAGGAGCCAYGTGAGGTCTCTCCTGACTGAGCAAYCTGGCCACTGGGTCATTCCTCAGGCCTGCTCTGCCCTGGCTGCACAACTGCACAGACAAGAGTGTGCTGAGGAAGAAATTCAGATCTGAAAGCCTCAATTCATGGAGTTTTCCTGAGGAGCTCATAATTTAGATAACACTGCAAACAGCATGTTCACCATGGTGGTTTTATATAAAGAACTCATAACCTAAACTACACTTCCTGTGGCTTGAGAGTTTTTACAAAGCTCCCAGATCATATTCTCTTGTSAAACCAAGGTTTTGAGATCTTCACTTTGTTTTCCTTTTGCCAGAAAAAATGTTTCAAAACAACACTGGTAAAGACATCAAAGAAGGAATATACAACTGACAGTTTCAAGATCTGACTGCAGTGAGAATTGCCATTCTTGCAGATGAAATGTTTTCCAAAATGTAATGACCCCACTAAAGGATCAAAGGGCCCTGATCAAAGGCATTGCTGAAAGCATTAAAAAGGTGATTTCTGCCATCATTCAACTGACACCATCTTCAACCAACACAGCTTTCCAAGGTGCTGAAATRTGTTCTTCTTCCAAAGAGGAAATGTGAGGGAATTTTATTAGCCCCATATGCCAAATTAACTGAAGATGAGACACTTTATGCTTCACATACCTGCTGTAGAGGAGATTTCAGAGCTTCTTTTCTTCATCCATCSCTGTCCCAGTCTGGTCTGGAGTTGAAGAGCAGCACACAGGTTTATGGATTAACCATGTCAGAATACTTACAACATGTGTTTTGTCATGGGTATTTTGGACAGAGGAAGCTACTGTAAAGATTAATGTAAGTTTGATTTTTTCTAACATGTGTTGTACAGGATGTGTGAAACATTTTATAACATATAATAATTCACTTTGGGAGTAACCAAGCTTCTTAATTATCACTGAATTCTTATTTTGTAACACACCAAAAACAACATCTCTTCAGTCTCTTATTACTAAAATACATACAATAAACTAGGAAATGCACCACAAGATGGGCTTTCATCCCCTTCACTGCTTAACTGAAAAACTAAATTGAACATTTGTCCACGTAATAATTTAACATATGTCAGCCAAACATATCTTTATCTTTATTTCAATTAAATTAAAAACAATCTGCAAGTATATTTATGCAACATTCACTATATACACACGATTTATGCAACTGCAAGGCAATTCTATGTATGCTGATTAATCTATTGTTAGTAAAACATGACAATAGCTATGGAAGTTGACAAGTGACTGTTTTCATGGCATGACTGAAAAAGAATAGCTACTAGCCATGAAATGGATTATCAGTAAACCTTAAAAAGAACATGACATAACCTAGCAGAGATTAACAGTCTTCTAAATGTAGTATATTTGCTTCAGATGATAGTGCTGCTTTAAAAAAAAAAWTCACTGTCACCCTTAATGATGGTAAGACTTTCATCAGCTCTATCTAAAGAAAGCAATAATTAGACATTATGCTTCCTGGCAAAAATTTATTTTTGAACTGGCACCACAGTATTTCAGAAAATAATAATAAAGTACCTCTTTGGTGAAGCCTAGGTACCCCCTACTACTCATTGTAACAACTTGTAAACAGGACYGCAATACAGTGCTTTGCCTTAATTCTAGCTCGGTTAGGTACCACAGATCTTCCTCACAGTCCTTCTCATAATTTTAGGAAGGTATTTTAAAGCAGGGAGTAAGTAAAGCAAAGGAAAATTAAGAAGGATATAAAGTTCCCTGTTTGAGATTTAAAAAAAGTGCATAATGTTTTCATTCCAAAAACTGTGCCACTGTATGGAACTGATGGATACAAGACTGTTTTTCCTTCCTGTACTGGACATTATTGATCATTACACAAACACAGTCTCTGCTCATCGGCCAAAGAAGTCTCTCCAGACTGTTTTCTGGTACAATCAGCTGTCCAATTACTTTAGAACAATGTCCTGCATACTAAAACAAGAACAGCGAGTTAACCGGCTTTTCCACTAGAAAGTCTTGCTTTTTTTTTTTTTCGCAATTCCATTTCTGTACACGACGTTTCCAACGCGTTGGAGAGTTCTTAGTGTTTGGCATACACGTCCCTACTCCTTGACACCACCAGGTTCAGTGCATCCATTGCCAGCAACAGACATAGCACCAGGAAAACGCCACTCCCAGCGCACCGAGGGACAGTTCAGGAGGAGGGGGCGTTCTCCAGCAAGGGCGGCCCATCCCGATGCATCGACGGGTGCGTGTGCTCCCTTTTGTAAGTTTTTGGAGGAAGCTTTGGGATATGTTGAGAAGTGCTTTGCCTCGGAGGAACGGGCGGTCCGGCCACGGGAGGGAGGTCCACGTCCTGCGGTATCAAAGGCGGCGACGGCAGATGCCTCCGTGCTACATGTGGAGAAGGCGTCTGGGGGGGAGGAGGGGTGAACGGGGAGGGGCTGTTTGGGAAGAAGGTGTTACCCAGTTCGCTTTTTCTCCCCAGGGGTGGAGGCTGGAGGTGTAGTGGTGAGCTAGAGAAAACGTCTGGAGTTCGCACGGGCTCCCGTGGCGGTAACTCGGGAGGGTTTGCAGTGCTAACACACGAGTCAGAGATGCAGGTCCGATCAGGCACCGAGTACCTTGGAGAATACACTTTAGAGGTTGGTTGCCTAGGAGGGATTGCTGGTGGGTTGTCCAGGTGTGCAGAAGTAATCTGAGGTACACAAATATTGCATTCAGTAAAATTCCAGAGTGGCAGCAAAAGCACAGGAGCCTGCTGTGGAACAGAAGCTGTGCCCCCACACTGCAGATTGCTCTGAGCTCAGCATGTGAGTGAACAGCCAAGGATGGAAGGAATAAAGATGCACAGGGAGGGACAAGGGCAAGRCAAAGAATGGTCAAAGCAACAATTTCCATGCTAGTTCCAGGTCTGCTTGCTGGGGAGATTTGGATATCTTCCACCACCTCCCCAGTAACAAGCACTCGGTGTGGTTAAACATACACCAGGTATTTCTTCAAGAATATGAGGAAAAGGGAGAGGCCCATGATGCTGAACAAGGTAAAAATGAAYTTTGCTCAGAAGATGGAGTTAAGTAGTCAGAATTATGGTAATGAACAGTTCCTAAGCTGCAGGCCACAGTCACAGGGTAACTGATCTCCAACACCCTATCACATAYACAGTGTTTTCAAATACATTTTGGTAGGATTTCAAATATATATTGGTGACATGTTAAATTCTGCTGACTGACAGCACAGATGCCTGTARCCTGAAAACAACTTGCTGAAGAGCCACTTAAAAGGCCTCCTCAAAGATATATTCATTCTGAAATAATTTTGAGCGGGATTTTCAAATCTGAAGTCACAAACGAGCTTCCCCTGAAATCAGGTGAAATTTGACACTGTCTGGAACAAAGGTTGGATYAGATCCCAATTGCCAGACAAATGCAAAATGAAAATGTAGCAATGGCTKMAGCAGGCAGGCAGACAGGATGGGYTAGCAAGAGGGGAAAGCAAGCACTTGAGCACCACAGCATCAGGGTCGAATATTCTGGTGAAACTTTCCAGAGGACTGAATTTGCACAGCACTTTCCATCATTACTGCTCATCAGCTCTTTCCCCCCCGTTCATACTTCCTAACATGATACTTTGGAATAATTATCCCAGATGGAAACATCTGCATGAAGCCTCGGGCTCTCACAGGCAATGCAAGGGCCTGAGCACAGCCCAGCAGCAGATGAGACATTTCTAACCCTAAATTTTGGTTTCCATTTGTTTGAGATAAAGACATAGTGAGGCAGAGCTGTGAAGGCTTGAAATACAYGGCTGCTTATTTCACTCACAGTTCTTCAAAAAATAAATGTACTGTTTTTAAGAGTTACTTTTCTAGCATATCCTGCTCCTCTTCTCCCAGAAAAACAAATGACCCTTTTTCTCCTTCCTTACCTTTGATGGGGAGGATTCAGCTGGGGCAGATTCTGGTCTTCTTCGTGGAGGAACAGGAGGAGGGACAGGAGCGTCATCAGAAGTTTTGGTAAAGTTTATGGATGACACAGAAGCAGATCCTAGCAGACATTAAAAACAATGTTGATAATGATGAAATTGAGCTCAATATTGCTGCCAATAAATCATTAAGCAATTGCTGGTAAAAAGCATCACAAATCAAGAAGGTGTTAAATTAAGGTAACAAACAAGMCTCTAACTTGCAGGTTCCAGACAAACTGCTTTTCTGAGCTGCAWAGATCTCTGTGGCCATCAGTTCCTGCACTCTCTTAAGTAATCCTCAAGACCAAAATCACACCACAAACTTGTTCTTAAGCCACAACAGCACTAACACAATATCCTGAACCTGCAGTCGATGGACCCAACAACAAACAAATCCTTTCTTCCCCAGAGGCTTCCCAAAGACCCGGCTGGAACACTCAGCAATGGCACTGCTCTGCTRAGCAACTTCTGCCTTTAGGAAGCCATTTCACCTCCTTGTGGCAACCAGCTGAACCCAGGAGTAACCTCTAAAAGCCTTCATATGTGAAAGGAGCCTACATCCATTGGTAATTACTGAGAGCACACCATAAAATATGAGCTTCCTKGTATATTGGGGAAGACAGAAGAAAAACAGCTTTGGATAGGTCCAGATGGATTTAAAGCACAGAAATACTGATTTTAAGTTCTGAAGAAACAACATCTATGTACACTGAAATAAATTCTGAATTGCAGGCAGCAGAATAAGATACCCACAAAAGATTAATTTTTTTATTCTCTGTTGACCATCAGACACTTATCAAATACAGGCACCACATGGCAGCAAATCCCATAAATTTGTTTGGAACATACAGGGAGCCTAGAGATTACCTCTGCCTTCTGTTTTGACAGCTCCTCCAAAGACTTGCARCAGTCTCTACATATAAAAGACTTAATCCCTACATATCAAACCKAATTCTGTTCAGTTTTTCCTTTATAATAAAAAAAAGGGAATAAGAAATACCAAAAGTTTTTGCTGCTGCATGAAGACAAAAGCAACCATTTCTACAGCCACTTTAGAATGTTAAAGATGTCTAATGGCACAAAATGTGAGTGGCACGTGGCTGGAATGAGCACCTACTTGTATGGAAAGGACTGGAGGGGTCCGAGTCGAAGACGCTGCAGGCGTCGGTGGTGCTGGAGGTGGCAGAAGCAGGGGGAGGGGTCAGAGGGGTCCGGGGGGARTTTGGGGCAGATGCTGTGGTTTCTGTCTCACTCTCTGGGATGCGGCTGTAGCTGATTTTCCTTGGCTCCTGCTGCAGGGGGGTGGGATGTCTCATGGTACCTGGCCTTGGATTAGAGGGACGAACACCCGGGGATTTCAGAGGGTAGCTGTATTTCTTGGGCTGAAATGATAGAAAACAAAATATTAAACTAAATCAAAAGGATATGGGATCACCTAAAAGCACCTTTGAAGCCAGAGATCTAAAATAAATTCTGCTTTCTACAAAAGACAAATGTAAGCACTTCTTGGAAAAAAAAAATTACAAATAATTGAATACTAACAAATCTTGGAGGAGGTTTGACATTTCGTGGCTCTATCTCCAACGACTTGTTGAACAGATAATCTGTAAATTCTGTCTCCACRCTGTTTCCCATTGGATTCAGGTTTTCAAAAAATCTCTGAAACACAAAGAAGGGAGACAACTTGTCAGCTAARATGCTTCTTAATACTGCTTGTTTCTACTGGACAAATGATCCCAGCTGTTCAAGAGAAGAGAGAAAATGCTGGAGTCAGAGGTAATGACAGACTTTTAAGTTATTAAATCTGTTTGTCACCAGCCYTTTTCAGGGCATTGCTACTGCTATGCTTGGCCTGAAAACCAGCTGTGCAARTACCCTAAATGCTTTCTACAGTCACAATCAGAGCAGGTTAGCTCAAACACTTCCTCCAAACAGTCCATCTTTACACTGATGCAGGGAAGATTGCTCCCTCAATGCATTCTGCCAAAGACTGAGGAGAACAAATAAAAAAAAAACTTGCAGAATCTCTTAAGATAACCTGTCCTGTGACTCTCTGAAAGTATATAGCTCAAAAGATGGTCAGAAAAGGGAAAAAAGGAGGAAAGGAAAGCAAGCAGAAAGGGCACTGCTTAGGCAACACCTCAGACCAAGGAGAAAAAACACCAGGAGAAAGAAAAATGTGAGTATCACCATCATTAACACATGATATAAACACAGGACTATCAGGTAAACCTGGAAACATAAAGGCAGTGTAAAAAAGACTGGGCTCACTGTACAAATWACTRCAGCTGAGTGAAGGACAGTGAGAAKCTGCYASTTTCAGTTCCTGTTTAACACTGATCAATAAGAAGATCTAGCAGTGCCCCAACAGCTGAGAAAAAAAATTAAACAAAGTCAAGAAATTGCAAGTATTGAGCTTTCTGCCCTTTCTTACAGTGAAACCCAAGAGAGATTTTATGACAGCTGTTCTGCTCATCTCTGGTTCAGTCAGACTGAATGGATGTGAATTCAGTCTGTCCTGATGGTCTGACTGACAGAACCACCACAGGACACTTACCCTGATGTCAAATTCCACTCTTAAACAATATGGCTGGTTCTGGTACTGCTGGATCTCCCCTGTAATCTCAGCTACCTTTCTTCTCTTGCTGAAGTTTATAAGGTCCTTCCCATGTCGCTTGAGAAATTCAGGATTGCCTTCTTCTGTTTTCAAAATGTTGGTTAAGTAAATCCCTAAAGGGCACACAGAAAAGGTGCTCAACAGAGTACAAAACAAGGAAAAAGTCACAACTGGAATATAAGGCATTCTTACAGAATTTAATTTGTGCACTRCAATTATTTTGAAAACTTCTCTGTTATGGTCAATAAGAGAATTGCATCTCACTTTCCAATAAAGGCAACAATTTAAATATTTTAACATACCTTTTCCAGAAAGCTGCCTTTTTCCATCAAAGTCCCAAGGCCTGTGCATCTCTTTATGGTTTAGGAAACTCACACAACTGAACACTAAAAGAGGACACTGAACAGAAGTGTTTTCCCCTGACTCCTCTACTCCATCAGACACCCCAGCTAAACTCCAAAAAATATTTTCAGGCTTCCTGGCTTCCTAATTACATCAAATCTTCTGAAGATTAGAAAGGAAAACGTGCTCTCCACTCCACAGATCGTGTGTCTGGAATTGCCATTATGATTTGACAGAAATAACTGAAGCTATTCACATGTGATCCTGCTAACCTCTACTCATCTCTGAAAAGGACAGAAGGTTTCTTATTGATCTTATCTCTCTTGGCAGAGCTCTGAAGTATATTTTTCTCCAATCTGTAAATGGCCAAAAAAGTAYCAACACTATTTTCTTTCAGTTTTGGCCTGAAGCCTACATTGGACAAGTGCAATGTCCAGACTTGGAGCTGATCTGCACCAAACATTTAAGTGCCTTGCTTAAGAACAGGAATGACGTGTGTTTAATGTCACATTTTGCTAAATGGCAGCAATCTACTTCAAAAAAGAACTGTCCAYTCTGGTGATAAAGAGGAGGCTTTCTTCCCAAACACAGTTTTTACAGAAATAAGATTTTTTAATAGAAATAGGACTCTGTTTCTTGGAACTCTTGACGAGGAAGAGGGTCCTTCTTTCTCTATTACTCAATAATATTTCTAATGTGATCACCTTCTATTGAGAGTATTTCTGKTTGTAACAGCTCAAACCACATCAGYRAATATGGAAATAAGACATTGCAGACATACTTACTTTTACTGCAAATAACATCTCCCATGAACAGTCACTTTAGCTTGTTTTTTTTCCCCACATATATGCAATTCATGTCTGGGTACCTGAAATGCCAACCCATCTGTCCTGTTCAAACTGATTTCTCATTATTGTTCATACTCTGTTTAGTACCTTGGCTCAAYACTTCCCAAATGTTAACGTGTGGCACAGTTTATCCAAACCAAACGTACTCACCAAAAAAAGGCACACAAGGAGGATTAATGGACCTGAGTTTTGCCAAGTATTTCTTGTAATGGTCCTCACTTAGCTCATAAGCTTCTTCTAAGATCTTCTTCTGGCGACTTGGAATTTGCTTTAAAGAGAGATCAAACAGGTTGTTTGGAAGGAGAAGGTAAAGGCAGAGCCCAGCTACAATAYTGAGAGCAATGGTCTCCCACTGGTATTTGAATCAGGGACCACAAGGACAGTGCCCCACCATCCTAAGATGCTTTCTTTAAGGGAGGGTGGATTTTTTTATTCTGAAACCAAGGAAAATTCCTCTCTCTCACAYCCTGATTGATTCATTTCTGGGGGATTTACTTTTCCTTGCTCCTTCTTTGAAGCACATGCTCACTGCCAAGACAGGCTGTCAGTGGAGCTAAGGCACCCTGCATTGCACGACCACAGCAAAAGTGGAAAACATTTCACTGTACCTCAAATGTGTGATCCARCCTATAAACTGCTGCAGAGTTCATAGCACTGACAATCTCAAGGACACCATTAAAGTTGTTTAGCTCTTGAAAAACTTGCAGGATCTCAATTATCCGGCTCACCACAATCACTCTTTCCTCTAGGTTTTCTGTTTCTACAATGCATCTAAACACACAAGAACATTGGGRTTCACATTAAAGTGCTGATGAGGATTCCAAAATCAGATATTCAGTTTTAACACAAACAAGCATCATTTTATCAAATTACTTGACAGCTTTAGAAGTGTTTTAGACATTTGAAAATATTCTAAGAATAAGAAGCTTGAGACCTTTATGATAAAATTCTCAAGGGACCAGTTTTAGCATCTAAACACCAAAACAGGAATTCTCCCAGAACAGAATTTTTCACAGTATATTGTAAATGGACTGTAAATGTCCAGATATGGAGTACATGCAGATTCAGGAAAGTCACTTACTTTTCAAACCACAGAGTTAGGTTAGTTGTATGCCTTATCATTTTGAGAAGGTTGGGWGAATTAATTTCTTTATCTTCCTTCGTCCACACACTTCCAACTAGTTCAGATGGCTGCACAGCTCTAGAAAAGTAGATGCATTATCARAAAAWGTAATTAAAAGCAGGAAAGAAAATRTTTTTCCAAACCCTCTTGATTTTCACTGAATTTGGAATTCATATTTAGAAATAAATTTTTAAGGTATCACTTCTATAATATTAGGCTCCTCTCATGACTAAATACCTGATATTTCTATGCTTCTTTTTTAGACTGTAAATATTTCTTAATCTATGTGACTTTTAACCACCTCTGTTCATCTTAATGAAGAATGAAATCTCCATCTGATTTAACATGTGAATAAATAATAATAAATAAAATGTGAGCTTCCAACGCCTGAACAATTTCTCACAGACAGCTGATGAGATCTGACACGGTCCTTAATTTGCYTCACAAACCAGGATGTGAATAAACCAATTCAATAATTGTTCATACTTCTCAAAGGTTGGTCTACTCAGAAAATATCAAGCACAATACAAGTAACAGAATGCAACACATACTGCACGTTAACTTGGGGAGGATAAAACAAATAATGTATTTTATAATGTATTATCAGAATTTTTTTCTGCAAAAACAGTAATTAATACACACCACTGGTAAATTCCCTAGACTTCTCTGGGCCTTCACATCAGAATCCCTCAGAAACAATTTCCTGCTGGAGAATATTTTGATTTGTGCCATGTATTTCCCAGTGGATGAAAGTTACCTGTAAAAATCTGACTCCAGCAAAGTGAGCTGCCGAGCAATTTCTATGGGATGCAAAGTGAGCAAATCAAAAGTCTCTGTGTTGCCTGGTTTGCTTATGTGCCACTCAATTGCTGGAGGGGGACTCTCAAAAGTGATGTTGTGGCTCGGCCCAATGGCTTGGGCYTGCTTTTTCCTGTTGATTATCTTTGTGATGGATTCAACCCACTTCTTCATGGCTTTGCCTGGCACACAGAGAAAATTACTATTTAGTTAATGCWGTTTTTCCTGAGACATCAGTGTAATTCAGAAATCCATGGATTTAACCCCTAAACACACTAAATTAAAGCAAACTCATATTCTTTAAGATTGCTGTTCTCACACAAGTCTGGAAGTATTCAAAGATACAAAGAATTCCTCAACAGCCAATGCTGAGCACGACTTTGCCCAAACACAGATTAGAACACCCAAATTAGACTCCTGCTCTGATTTAGCTGCTTTTCTTTCTTTTCTGAATTTACAGTGAGTTTATGGGAAGAAACCTTCTTTTGCCCAAAATGCACTTCTGCAAACACCCTGCCCTTCATGCCTTGGGCAAGAGCCCATGATTACCTCAGATAACCTAGAAAGTCAAAATAACCAACAGGGAGAAGCTTCTTCCTGTATTGCATTTACCATCAAAGCTCAGAATAAAACTGAAAGGCCAAATGCCTTTTTAGCTCTGCACCATAAGAATTTCATGCACAAATCCAYTGAAAATTTACCAGTAACACCCACTGAATTAGCTGGCTCATTCTCCCCTCTTTTTAATGGCTAAATAACTATTAAATACTTCTCTGACATAGTATTTTCCTACAAACTGCTCCCATGTCTGTCTYGGTTTTATTTAAAAGGAAACAGGAAAAGTCTGTACAATCACAACTGCAAGGTGTCCTACGGCTCTAATGTGCACTGTGAAGTGGCTGGAAACTCTTCTTTTAAAGAAATAGTGGTTTACACCATCAAGCTTTTACCAAAATGAACCCTGTGTGAAGTTTAAAATTACAATCAAAGCAATTATTGTGCCCTGATCATCATTCAGTTCTTATTATTTTGCATTATTTCAGTCCATTTAAAACAAAAGCCGTAATTGATRTAAACAATCATTATTCTGAACAGGAGCCAAATTTTGAATAATAGTGTGTGGGGGGTGGGGTAATGAAGGTTTATTTTATGCTCTTTATGAAGTATTTAATAAGCTGTTTTTCCTCAAAGAAAAATTGATCACATTCCATTTCTCTGAAAAAGGGGTGCTTTAGGATAAATGTCAACACTGAAGAAACTGCAAATACCTCTTACTGTCCCAATGAACTCCTCCAAACGTTTCAGCAGATCAGCATCTCTTTCAAAGTCATAGAAGTGGTGCTCTACCCAGTGTCGACACACATTCAATACTCTGCAGAGGCAAAGGACAAATGAACACTCCACACCTCAGCCCATCCTTCCCACCAAAGCAGCTCAGGAGGAGCCAAAGGTGGCACTGCAAAGGACTCAGAGGAATTCAGAGTGGCTCAGGGTGATGAACACTCACCGCAGCTGCACAGGTTGAATGTACTCTTTCCTGAATCTTTTCAGCTCTGCACTCAGAGGTTGGTCTCCATTCTCCATGGCCATGCGGTCTGCTTCTGTTGGCTCAGGCTCTGGAATTTCAAATCTAGCACAGAGGATGGGGATAAGCACTAGGCCAATGTTAAACTAGCCTTGGGCACAAGCTTCTGGATATAAACATGTACATTTTACTGGCAATCCTTGAATGTGAMAACTTTTTAAAAGGTGTTTGAAGTGAATCAAAACCAACTGGAAAGCCAGAATCTTACACAGTCCAAGTAAAAATTWAAAAAAAGCACTTCATAAGAACAGTATTTTTAACAGTGGCATACCTTTCTATTAGCAAACTCAGCAACTCTTGAGGTCTACAGAAGGATCTATATGTTGTGAGAAAAGTCCGAACAAAGTTGGGATCTAAGACAAAGAATAATTTTACACTTATGTCAGCAATTACCTGATGGTTTCTTTCCTTTACAATAATTTCAATTATCCTTTAAAATTAAGGATGTCACCCTATCAATTTACAAAGATGATGTAAACCAAAATGGCTTTGGCAACATTCAAAACCTTCTAAAATAGCAATACAAAACAGAATTTAAAAACAGTTTTCATTCAGTTTTCACTTCGCAACAATTACTTTTTCTCCCCTTCAGTCATTAAAAGACAGGATTTTTTTCCAATGACTTTGAAATTACTCATAAATAAAATCATCTATTCACTAAACAACTTTGGTTTTGACAATGATAGGGGCATGAGAAGTCAAGAAACACACTAAGTAACTTCATTGGGTGGAAACAGCCTCTCCCAGGGAAGAATGTTTCCCCTAAATTGGCACAACTGATAACCAGTCATGGTTACAGCAGCCTAGATATTTTTTCAGCTGACTATGTTTGAGATTGTATTTATTTCACTTCAAGCAAATAAACTGATTTCATTGAAATTAACTGACTATCAGTTCATTTAAAAAAAATATGTGTTTTAAAAACAATCAAGTGTTCAGCACAGAAAACCAAAGTGTCTCCCATAATTACAAAAGCAAACCCATTTGTTTTCAAATATGAGGAAATGCAGTGACAGCTCMCTGGCACTGCACAGAGCTGAGTAGAAACACAGTTAACACTGTTATCACTGAACAGAATTRATGAGCAGATTGCAATAGCTTTGCATATTACATCCATATCCACWTTTTAAAACCAAACCTGATAATTGTCCTAACACAGAGTGGCTGAAGAGGAGCTCACAGCACTTGAAGCAAGAATTCCTGAAGGCTCTAACATGTAGGAAAAAAAGGCCACTTTATTTGACCTAAAGCTCTATTGGACTTGTTTCCCGGAATACGGATTTTTAGGAGCTGTTTTAAAATCCTCCTTAACTCTTTACCAGCATCTTGTCCATTTGAATGAACATTCTTTCTACCTTTCTTAGATCCCACTGAGTTGTTATATTTGGGCAACAGTTTGCTGTGATGTGTTGCACACCTTAACTGTACCACGTAAAGCAGCATTTCCTTGCAATTCTGTTGCATGATAATTCTCATTTCTTAAATAATTGGCTGTTCTGCTTCACCCACGTCCTCCATTACTCCATTTTCCTAATCATAACCACTCTCCCACCAGTCTGTGAAATTGCAGAGCCCAAAATTATTTTCAAAGGCAGAACTCTAATACTTTTTGAACAAAGAAGTTCATCCCTGTTCACATCATCTTCATCATGAAAATACACAATTTCTGTTGTGCTAAAAGAGCACAGTAACTCATGCTTTCACAGTTTGCAATCTGTACACAACATCTACCCTAAACAGATTTTGTCTACATGAAAAAGAAAGCTTTCARAGCAATTAACATTTTCAGATCACTGCAAGCTCTGAGTCATAGCTATTGTTATTTACAGGTAAGGTCAGCATAWAAAGCCACAATACATATTGAATTTCAAACGAAGCAGATCAGAAAATCAAATCTAACTTTGTTATCTTACTAGCAATGACTGTGACTCAAAATAATGTACAATATATGAGTAAGTGTTAAAAAAATACAGACAACACTRGTTAGCCAGGATGTCTGCTCATGTGATAATTCTCTCTTCAATGCAGCCAATTTGAAAGCTAAAAAAGAACAATAACTGTTCTACGAGGATTTATAAATAATCACCCTTGAATTCCTTAAGAAAGGAAACGGACACTACAATGACGCACAAGCACTCTTAACATATCAAAGCTTTAAAAATAGAAGAGAGCTGCCCTATAGATAAAAAAAAAAAATGCCATGACTTTAAAATCTTGGTACCACCTAACCCAGCTGCTCTGTAACAAGAATCGGGCAAGATGAGATAATGAATGCAGAAACACATTAAACCAAGGAAAAGCCACCAGAATATGCAAATAGGGTCAGAATCTGAACTTCTAATTGAAGGGYTGTTTCTCTCAAGTGAAAATACATTGAAAGCTGCTTTTGCAGAGGATATCTCTCCCTGTTTTGCTGCTCCACCACAGGACAATTTGGACAGTCTCACCTTGTGACCAGGGGGCCATCAGGGCAGTCTCCCTGTCTGAGCTGCTGCAGTGTTTGGATGTTTCCCACCCCCAGCAGCATTGTTTCCTTASAGCTGTCCCTGTTCCACAGCATTGTAAAGAAATTTTGGCTGATAAAATGGTTTGTGCACTGTCAGGGGGGTGAGGGATGAAAAACAAAAGGTCCAACACCCGTATCTACAAATGAGATTGATCGTGTGGATCTTCACATATGACAAAAAGTTGAGACCTGATTTGACTACAGCAATTAATTAAATTGCTCTTCAGCTTCCTTCAACAAATTCATATCACCTCTGCAAGTCTATCTGTAATTATTGACCTACAAAGATAAAAACCTACAGAAAAGTCACAGCTACAGTAAGTACTGTCTTTAGACTGTCAGATCAAGGGCTGATAATAGTCATACTGCATTTGAGAAAAACTGCCCCAGAAAAGTAAAGGCTTGCTGTTCTGGCATATGAATATAAAGCCAATGAGGTCTTTTAAGGTTACCATCACATACACACAATCCTGTGTGAGGCAAGAAAAGCATTTCTGCACTCTGTAGCTGTTTGTAGGGGTTACACATCATCCCAGCCCTTCCCATCATCTTTCCAGAGCCCCAAGCAAAGGAGAACCCTTGGACTCAGCCCATACAAATGGGAAAGAGCTAACCTGTTACTGTGGAGAGCTGCTGTCCTACTCACTGCATCTCATCATGCAACAAAACCCTGAATGATTTACATCACAAATGGACCGTGTTTCCTGTACAACAGGGCATTTTTGGTTGAGTCACTCTATCTCTTGTTTCTTTGCTGCCCTGGAAAAGACTGCTTGGAATGGTGAGAACAATGAAGTTTTTCCTCACAGATAACCAATTATAAAACAGAAGATATAGAAGATAAGAGTGTTCAGAAATTATGCACAATGTAGCAATTCAGCATCAGGTCCACTAAGACCTTTCAAGCTACAAAGACAGGCTAAACACTTTACAGGATAACCCTTTTATCCTTTTGGTCCAAGTCTTTCAGGCCATCTCATGATACCCACATTCTCAATTTTCTCATAAAATTGTTCCTGCTAAATCTTTGGCAAAGGCAATGAAACCTTAAAAAATCATAATAGAAAATGTCTTCCTTTCTCTAAGACTGACTTGTTTTATTTTAGCTTTCAAGATCATAGAATTCTGCCATAAAATCATGACTATAAAATCCAAAGCCAAGAGCTAGAAGTTTATAAAGCTACAAGAAAATGAAGACAGGTACAAAACTGCTCAGATAAAAACTGCCAGCAAAATATTGCATTTGGCTTTCTAGTAAACAGGAAAAATCAAGGAAATCAAAAGAAGAGCAAGAAAAGTAATGGAGCAAAGAGATGTCACTACAAGTATTTAAAAAAGCAAACAAGAGTACTAAACTACAAAATGATATTCTGCTTACTCCTCACTTCTTTAAAATAATTATTCCTSATCTATGCAGGGTATCTAGGACTGAGCTGCAGAAGAACAATCTACAATTATCAAGAGTAAAAAGGGAGGAATAAAAGTAACTGTTGAATATGAAAAGCACTAATACCAAGATGCATGAAGCTTCAGAATAACTGACATACAGATAGAATCAGGAAACAAAAACCCCAAACACAAGCCCATGCTTMGCAGCACAGCTTATGAAAATCCTGGGCTGCCATCAAGAAGAACCTCACACACTGAGGTTAGCCTGGATAACCACATAAATGTCTTTAATGTGTCTTCAACACAAACAGAAACCCTAAGTCAAAAGTCCTTAAATCAAATCCTCACTGAAGTTCTGATTAAGGCAAAGTTCTGAGGTCAAATTATGCCAAGTGATTGCTTCTATAGAGTTGATATTGGTCTTTCCATCACACAGCAGCATGGACACAGGTAAGAGCTGACCCTTAACTGAAAACACTGAGTCCATAATTCTCTCCCACCAAGTTGTGTCAATCAGCTTTAGAAGTCTGGAGAGAAGGCAGTTTTTGTAGCCTGAGGCACAAAGGAAAAAGTATTGTCTGGAGCTCAATTGCTGCAGGCCCCCACCTCCCACCCCCTGCATGAGAACAACCTTCTGGACAYGCAATATCCCACGAGCACTGCCAAGCATGTTCACTTTTGACTCACTCTGTGTGTTTTGTGTATTTAACACAGGAAGAGAAGCATGCACCAGTTACCACCTTGAGTTTTGGCTCACACAAACCAAATGTCTCACCTGCGTACATGTGGTAAGTCAGCCTCTCGATGAGCTTCACAACAGTTCCTGCCTTGATGATGGGGATTCCAGATTTGGGCTGCATGTTTTCTTCAAACACAATATTCTCTTCAGAGTCCGGTTCTGCGAATCTATAAAGCTCAGGATTTGGAAATCTCATCTGCTCCTCTTTTTCTTCCTGCAACATTGTTACATCCAACATCCTTTCCAGCGTGCTTCTATATTGCAAAGATATCAACGCTGCCATCCAGTTGTTTTTCTCTTCAGCTGACTTAGCAGCAAAAATAACACTGTTCTCATCTTTTAAGATGATTTCAAAAGCRTGTCTATACTCGTTAGTGTCATCTTTATCATTGATTTGTACCTTTCTCATGAAGAACTTCTCCTTGAGTCGATATTCTGCATTGCTAGCACCAGGAAGTCTTGGCTGGCCATGATTTGAYTTACAGCAAATCATCAAGCCATCAAACAGGAATATGTGTCTCTCGTGCTTTGCTCCTACACGTGTGAGTGTTCCTTCCATGATGAACTCATTACAGCACTGTCCAATGTCTTTACCCTCCCAACCATCAATGTTTTTCTGGATTTCATTCATTTTCTTAATTGCTAGCTGCTTCCCYTTCATCTGCTGAGTATAGAACCGGCATGCGGATTCACTTCAGGGGAGGATGGGAGAAAGGCAGCCCATTAGTACACATGCACTTAAAAAAAATAACCACTACTGACACAAAAACATCAGATCATCACTCTGAGAAGTGGGGATTCCACTGAGAATGCAATTTCATCACTCAATATCAGAACTATTGTAAAGGCTTCACTAATGATTCTCATGAGTATCTAATCTGATGAATTTTTTACCTATATTCAGCTATAGATGATTAAGCTAAACACATGCACCCAGAGGCAGGCAAGCTGTTGGTGCTTCTTAGCCAACAAACCACTCACTTCCATGACCAACAAAACAACTACATTCAGAAGAAAATAAGCTGTTAAATGCATTCATGTTCAAACCTATAGATTACCCTTGGCAGCACAAAACTTGACTGGCAAAGGAAATACTGAAACAATTTTAAGAATCATTTCAAAGTCAAGAACATTCCCTTCTAACCACACAGAAAGGTACTTTTACAACATTTTTAGGTGAAAGTTATTTATAATATTTATTATCTGAGCACAAATAACCCACAAATACTAACTTTCTACTTACCAGTGAATTCTCACAACGTCTCAACTACCAGTTTGCAAGGACACATAGAAATTAGAACTGTTTTAAAACAATAACAAATTATCTTGGCTTTGATGTCACTTCCTCTGAAAAAGCAGGCTTGTCACAAACTATTTTGTTCATTGTTTACTAAAAGAGGAAACCGGGAGCCCTGGATTTATAGCAAAGCATTAAGAGCAGAGAGCAGAAAAACCGGAAACGTTTACCTAAGCCTTCGTTTTGCAAGGCTTTTGGAGCATATCCGTTCCATACTGCTTTGAAGATTTAGCAGGGCAGTTATTGCTTGCTTCAAGCACTCCTTATCCTCTTCATCCTCACTTTTTTCTTCCAATTGCTGTGAATATTGAAAGTCAAAGACAGGAAGYGTTACATGCATTATGGTATGTGCAAATCCAGAAGTTTGACCCAGGAAGAAGAAATCTAACCATCTGCTGATTTTCCATGCTCCTGCTTGTTAYAAAAGTTAATGGTAATAACCAGGTGTTATTTTTATAATTATTTTCATTAATTTTATAATTACTGGCACAGGTGAGAGAGACAACTCTCTGCTAAGAGCTTCATCTCAGTAAAATATAGCACATTATRTAGCATGTGTATCATCGTATCTAAGACCCCCCAACACAAACACACTCAGACATGCATTATTTATCTCAAACTGGTTTGATTTACTTTACAACCCCTTAAAGGAACCCATTTCAGGTGTAAAATCTTAAGAACAAGCAAGGAAAGAGATCTCCATCCACACCATACTACAGAACAAGATCAAATGAGTCTGTGTGCTTGTAACATGTATAAACACCCTGGAACAGGCAAGCTGGACCCAAAGCTAAGCAAAACTCCTTCATCACATTCACAAACAAAAGATTGCAAGGGCTCTCTTCTCACTGATAACAGCCTAATCAATGAATCAGGTAGAAGGGGACCTTGGAGATTATCCCAGCCAAACTCCAGCTCAACTGCAGAGCCAACACAGATCAAGTCGCCCAGAACCACCGTGAGTTTTTAATTCTAAAAACTAAACTAAAACTGGATGAGAAGGGTTAAAACTAATATTTTGTGTGTAGCTATTGTTACAATGGGTAAATTTCATAAAACAAGATCTGCCATGTTTAAAATTGCTTCAATTTAAGATTTTCATCTCAAATCTTCATTTAAGCATTAAAATGYTTCAAATGAGTGAAAAAATTGCTGACTACACCTGTGGTTTAGATGCAATAGTGAAATAATACACGCAGAATTATTAACAGACAAGCATTTTAGACTATCACACACCAATAATTAGCTCTACACAATTCAAAGATTTGTTTTGGTGGTAGAACTGAAGCAAAGGCTGGCACAAACCAGAATGAGACACCCTTGGAAAAAGTACAACTGTGCTGTTTGATTCCAGTGTGAAATACCAGTACTGTCCTCCAAAACCCAACTGAGTACAACACAGKCATRTYTAATATTYGAATGGGTCAGAGAACAGCATTTTKTTCCCTTAGCAGAGTTAATCATTCAGTGCAWTAGATGTCAATGCCAAAGTCTACTTTTTTATGTTTTCAGCTTTAAGGACAACCACAAAGTTTATTCTAGGCAGCTTTGGTTCAGGCAGTGTCATCTGTCATATTCTCAACCTAAGCAGCATTAGGTGCAAGTGCCTACTCGTGTAACAACCACTGGAACAGGTCTGAGAACAGCAGAAAAAAGCWTAATTTCCTAAAAGATCTTGGTGAGAACACATCACTCCAAGAAGGAACAGAGTACCCTCTCCATATTCTTCTGTTCTCTAGATTTACTAAAGGTATCATCTTCCCTTTGCTTCGGTTTTGTAGATCGGGGTTTAGAGAGGGTTTTGGGCAAATGAGGCAGGTACAGCAACACTGGCAGAAGTCCTGAAAGAAAGCTTTGAAAAACCTGTAACTGCCTCTAAGATTTTGCATGTTTCCCACACAAGCATTCAGAGAAGTCTCTGTGCCTTGTGTGCTGCCTTTTTACAAACTTCCATCAAAATAGTCTGGCTGGATTTCCTATAATTTCTGGGTTTCTACACTTCAACAGCMGAAGAGATTGTTTTAGCCTAGTTTCCTTGAAAATAAGCCTTACTAGGTCCTACAATATTCTGCACATTCTCTTCAGAAACAAACTAGCAGAGATTAACATTYATTACTGCAAAGCATTCTGCTCCTATGTTGGTTTTTACAGTAATCTCTCTCTCCAGTTGCAAAAATGTTGGCATTGATCACAGAAGAAGTCCATGTCCCTAAAGCAAAATACATATTTGCATATAGTGGGGGAGAGAAAGCAGCTAACATTTCCCCATCAGGATCCATTGGGAGTAACTCTATTTCCAGTGGTAAATAGAAATTTAAAATTGAATGAATGCAATTATGCTCCAGGTTTAACATTTAGAAAGTAAGGTATGGAAATATGTGTCTTATGTGTAACACCAACACAAATTGCAGATCAGGCAGTGCTCTGAACTATTATGAAGACACTTCTCTAGACACAGAAATTTGGAAGTTTATATTCCAGCATGATACTGTATAATTACCAAAAACAAATTAAAGTCAGAACTCAGTGTAAATTACAACAATGATTTCATCTTACACTACCCCTAGACAATTTGGAAGAGGTGGAAAGTAAAATGGCATCACTGAAAAGCACCCAGAAAGTTTCTCTGCAAATCCCACTGATTCTTCTACAGCCGTGCAGTGCCCCCTAATGAACAAACAAGGGAGATGCTAAGTGGTAATAKGTTTTTTGTTTGATTTTTGGTTTCGGGATGGTTGGTTATTTTGGGGTTTATTTGTCTTTTTTTTTTACAGAAAGTACATCGTGAAGAGTACTATAATATTATGTGAAGGAAGTGCAGACTTATGATTATCAGCAGTATCACAGACATGGTGGGTTTTAATAATCTTATTAGAAAATACTGGCTTAGGGTTCATGTGATTCACAATACTACAGGCACAGGAAAACAAACTTGGAAAACAGAGTCCTAGGGAAGTCTCTAATAAAATGGAAGTGCTCCACATTCTAGGCCACAAGTTTCAAAGAGAAGTGGAAGACAAGGTATTTGGTTCTACCTGTTGCACAACACACAGATTAGACATTTATAAATTCCAAAGAGATAGAAAAAAATCCTTCTCACACTCTGCAGAATTAGACAATGGTATTCAACCTCTTACACTGTCAGAAGCATCTCTCTGGAAATACAATGATAGAAAATACACAGGAGAACACGCAGACCTAACCATACCAGTAGGTGTCACAATAAATACAAAATCTTACACTTCAAGGTTTGCATCACAACCCAAACTTCTGTCTTCCCAGAAGATTATTCTGAGTATAACCACCGAAATTTGTAAACTGCAAGTTCCCCAATTCCTCTGGGAATCAAGACCACAGCTTCAAYACACAGAAGACAGAGCTATTTTGTAATCAAGAATAAAAAGCCACAGGGTTTCTTCTCTGACAAAGGCAGGCAGGTCTGCTGGCATAAAACAATCCCAGAAGGTGGCTCAGTAGCATAGAGACACCTGAGAGCACTCTCTGACTTTTCATAATTCCTACAAATAATAAAAACACTCAGCTCAATGCAGCAATATCCTGGGAACAAAAGGAAGTGTTCTCACAACTAGAAAATTTAATTTTTAGAAAGCATCGGGAAATCATCTGGGACAGTAAATGGGAAAAACTGCAGGGAACACGTGCACTTCTGGAAAATGCTGGCAGACTAAAATACACCTCATACTTGAACCTTGTAGGAAACCCCACATGCCACATTCCTGAACATACATACACACACAGCTTCATTGCACTGAAATTTGAAAAGTCATTTTGTTTTCATATAAACTCAGGCAAACCTGAGCATAGGGCAGTAAAAACATTCATACAGTTATCTGTTTATTTAGATTTCCATTACAGCATGAGTGTCAGTTGCATTGACAGTGGAATATAATTTAATATCATACTGAAGTAATGATAAAGAATTTTTCTCCACTCAAAGTTTATCTATGCCTTCTCAGTTTCATTTTTAAAAGTTACATAAAATTGCACATGTCAAATAGCAAACCCCAGATATCAGATAATTAGTTACAAAAAACCTTCAGCATTCTCTTGGAAGCATGTTTTAAAAGATACAGAAGCTAAAAATCCCTCATCTTTTATTTCACATTAAGTTTTAACTCACAATATAAAATATGAGCAACCCACGGGAAAGCATACTGCACAAGAAACACAGAGAGAAACAAGAAGCACTTCCACTTTTAGTACAAGATTCCCTCTTCTTTCACATCTTTACTAAAAGCCTTAAATCTTAAATATATGTTGAAAATTTAAGTACAACAAATGTCATATGAACCCAGGCAAGTTGAAACATTTGGGCTAAAGAAACGTGAATTTAAGGAATTGCTACTTTAATTACTCAATGTAAATGTTCTTGTTTGGAAAGGGGTGTGTGTGTGTGTGTGTGAAATAAAAATAAATCTGCTCCAGATTAAATTACACTACTCTGAAGCAAGTGCCATTTTGCAAATCAAGATGAACACTGAGGAAAAATCAGGAAGACCCATTCAGAAACATAAACTACACAAGTCTGTCAGCTGATGTTCCACCAATTCAGCAGTTCAAAGTKCTCTGTAACAGGTTTCTCATGTAACCATTTTGCCATTGGCATTCCCATAAAGGGGTACAGCCTGTCAGGAGAACATCCCAGATCAGGTTTGCTCAAGAGCTACTGCACCCTGCTAAGAGCTTCACCTGGTGTCTGCTCAGCAGGAAGAGGAGCAATTTTGCTCTCAGTTTCTGCAATTTTGCTCAGTTTCTGCAATTTTGCTCTCAGTTTCTGCAGCTGGGAAGGGATTCATGCATGAGATCACACTAAGCCATCTCCTTCACCAAGGAAGGGATAGAAAAGCAAAACCTTTTTCCCAAATAACTTCTCTGACGTTCTCACAAAACTATTTCCTAAATATTCAGGCTACTAGCAGCCATTTATGCATTTTATAATCCATTACTGGGAATAGCTACTTTGCCACAGGAGACCCTGACTTCTCCAAGTACACAAAACCCATTTGCTCTGCATTTTTCAGAAATACAGAGTTTGGGTTTTTTTTTCATATGCTGATGTCTCCTCCACAGCAGCATCATTACCTTTCTGTAACAAATGTACAAGTTCACACAGATCCTTCCAGAGCCTTCATGCTCTGAAACTCTCTTCTTTCTTACTGTCACTTTGGTTTGTCTCATCACTATTAGCAGACCTGCAGAATACATTAGAAATTTAAAACTCATGATTTGGTTCATAGCATTTAGTTAGATCAGTATTTGAAATATCACAGAATATTT